GGCCTCGAACTCACAGAGATCTGCCTGACTCTGCTTCCAGCATGCTCCTGTCTGCTGCCACCACCTACCGGCAAAGTTTAACAACTTTTAATGAAACCCAACGGAGAAAATCAAACAGAAAATTTGAAAACCAAACATTCTAACACAGCACAATCCAAGGACACACTAATTTGATGCTTCTATGCTGAGGAATGGTGGTAGGAAATATTGAATGTTTTGTTTTCCACAGTGAAAGCATTGTGTTTCTATAGCATCAGGAAACTTGATAAGTATGATGAAGAACACAGCAATTCATAACATACAGTAGTCTCAACTCTGATCTAAGGTGTTTCAGGCATCATTTACTGGTGTTCTATGGAGGGACAGTCCCAAGTGCACTATGTTATGTGTTCAAAAGCAAGGCTGAATAAAAGTTGTATGATACATCAAGGCAAGTGTCGACAGAACTATCTTGGGGACTTACCACACCTTTGATTTTTTTAATTTAATTTTAACTGATTTGTTTGTTCATTTATATGTGGACCTGCGTGTGTGGGTACACATGCCTCTGTGTGTGTGGGTACACATGCCTCTGTGTGTGTGTGTGTGTGTGTGTGTGTGTGTGTGTGTGTGTATGTGTGTGTGTATGTGTGTGTGTGTGTGCGTGTGCGTGTGCGTGTGCGTGTGCGTGTGTGTGTGTGTGTGTGTGTGTGTGTGTGCGCACAGAGGCCAGAGTAGGGCATCAGGTGTCCTCCTCTACCATTGCCTGCCTATTCTTTTGAGACAGGGCCTCTTCCTGAATCTGGAAGCAAGCAAGCTCCAGCAATCCTCCTGCCTCTGCCTGTCTCAGAGCTGGGGTTACAGGTGTGCACTGGACACTCAACTTGTTATTTAGCTTCTGGCACCCAAACTTCATGTCTCATGATTACACAGCAAATGCTTTAAACTGATGGGCCATTCCTCCTGCCCCCCCCCCCCGTTTTAAATTTTTAGTTATTATACATTCAGAAACCTTTTGCTATAGCCCCCCACATTCAGTTAAGTGACCCCATATGGGTCACATTTTAGGAAGCTGGGGTCTACAGTTCACATAAGCTTATCTTACCCAGGGTGGAGTCGCCCAAAGCAGGTGCAAGTTGCCTAGAGTGGTCATAACTAGAGCAAGACTTCCCGAAGTAGAAGTTACAGCTTCTCCAACAGTCATGATTGTGTGGTCCTCGTGGCTGGAGTAATACTTTCCAAGTGATTGTGGAGTGCTCAGAACAGCCAGACTGCCCCCTGCTGGCTGTCAAAAGAGGGGCAGCTTGGCTGACAACTCGAAGCAGCCAGGTGTTGGTGGGGTGGTGGGGGTGGGATGGGGGGGTGAGGGGGGTGAGGTGAGTGTCAACTGTCACTCAAGAGACTAAATTCTTGACAATCCTACCAGTTTAGCTTAAATAAATAAATAAACAAACAAATAAATGAGTAACCAAGTGTGATTATGATAAAAACCAACCATAGGATTACCATTCTCAATAGTACTTAACAGTGTTAAATGCTAATAGAGGTCTGAGCATAAACCTCTAGCCACATATCCTTTGGGGGAGGAGATCCCTAGGTCTGTCTCAAAGGACAGGAAGGGTTGACATTCAGTGACTCCCTTCAGGGTCCTGCTCCCAGAGGGCTAGTGCAGCCTCTCTTAAAGTTTCCTCCACTTCTCAGTAACACCACAGGCTGATGACCAAGCCTTCAAACAATAGCCTTTGGGTAGGCAGTTCAGATCCAAACTGTAACAATGGATATGACTCAGAAAGCACCTGAAGCATCTGGGCTGCTAAGTGTTGCTCATCCTCTGCACTCCGTCAAAAGGCATCTGTTCTTGAATACCAGAAACAGGAGTATTAGCTAGAGGTGGAAAGTGTCAGCCCCCAAACACAGTTTTCACTTCAAAAGGAGTAAGAAAGACTTTATTCTGGAGCCAAATTCAACTGATCATGGCCTAGGAATACAGATTCTGGTTTCTTCCAAATACAATGGTCTATTTAGTAGCTACATGAGGCTTTTATTAGTTACAAAACAAAGTTATAAATCTACCTGTAGGTGGGTAACAGCAAAGCAGGAAAGCTCTGCTACAGGTCTGAGATTATACGTGATGACATTCTTAGCTTTTGATTGATGAAAGCTGGTAGTCTGTAAAGAATACATTTCAAGGTTTTGATAGTTATAGGTTGTTAAATAAGACACAGAGATAGGCAATGGCTGGCTTTCAAAGGACTAAAAATAGCTCAAGATATTTTGGTTCTCTCTCTCTTTTTTGGGTTTTTTTTGTTTGTTTGTTTGTTTTGTTTTTTTGTTTTTTGTTTTTTGAGTAGGTGCCTGTCCTGGAACTCACTCTGTAGACCACTGGCCTCGAACTCACAGAGATCCACCTGGCTCTGCCTCCTGAGTGCTGGGATTAAAGGTGTGTGCCACCACCGCCCAGCTTGATATTTTGGTTCTTGTATACAACATCTTTACTGCTCCAAAATCTTGACGTTAGTCACTTGGCCTTAAAGAATTTATTCTTCAGGGTTAACCTTCCTTCCTTCCTTCCCTCCCCTTCCTTACTGGAACATCAATTGAAATCTTGTCTCTGCCTCTTATTACTTTTGTGATCCTAGGTCATTACAAAGAACTCCAGACCATCATCTATAAATAGGAGGCAATGGTGGCAGGGTCTCCTGTGGGGTAGTAGTGGTAGGGTGGTGGGATGTGTGTGTAAAGGATAAGTGAGGTCTTGATTGTAAAGTGGTAGGCACATAGAGACCACATCATACGTACTTAGTAAATGATTATGATTAGCTGACTATTGTATCTTTAGCTGTCTGAGAGATGCTGTAAATAAGATAATAATTTATTCAAGAGACTAATACAATGAAGCAGTTTTTAATAGACAATTTGGCAGAAAGGGATGCCACCAAAGAAAAGGCAAAAATTGCTGGTGCAATGCTTTGGTACAAGACATTGGTTTTTAAGGTCCCCCAATCTGGAGAAATTCCTGTCCTCGTCTCCATTGGCTGGACCTTGCCCCTTTCCCAAATTTGCCATTTTATTGGTTTAGGACACAAAGCCTTATCTAAAGAATAGTTTGGGGCTTGAGACAGCCCTGCCCCCTCCCACCTGTTTGTGACCATGGGCTCAGCAAGGCAGTAGACTACCTGTAACTTTCTTAAGAGTTCTGTGACAAGCCACCACCAGCCACCAGGTAGTGGACCTGTTGTATCCTGCTTATCTGTAGCTCTGATGAACTCTAGGTGCCTCTCACACTGAAAATGGACCAGAATAATCTATTTCTTACAGAGTATAAAAGCAACTCCAGAATTTCTGGTAGGAGGGACTCAAAGGGATCCATTTTACTGGAAACATTCCCTCAACACTGATCTATGTTCAGCCAGAGAGAATGAGTAAGAGTTCAAGAAGACATAATGGAACCGGAGCCCTTTCCTCAACCCCTTTGGCATTTCGTTCATTCAAGGCATTCAAGGGATTTTTCACACTCACCCCTCTGGTGGGCCTCCTGCCCTGGTCAACCAACCAGACAACAAATACAAAACAGTCCCGGCCAAGATTGGAACTCCAGAAGGGAGAGGAATGGGAGAAGCACTACACATTCTCAGAGGAGTGGATGCCCTAACTGTGACCCTCTGCAAGTATTGTCTGTGCTCCTAGTTGCTAAGCCATGCCTTCAATACCTTGTTTTGTTTTTATTCTTTTGAAACAAGATCTACTACAAATCCCTGGCTGGCCTGAAATTCCCCAAGTAAATCAAGCTGGCCTTAAACTCAGGAGATCCACCTGCTCCTGCCTTCCAAGTCCTGGCATTAAAGGCTTTGGCCACCACGACACCTCGTCTGGCCTGAACCTTAACAGTATTAGGCACGAAGGACGCATAAGGGTGAGAGGTGGGTCTGAATGGGGTTGAAGGTACATTCAGAGTGCAACGTTAACTTCCAAGTGAGCCTCCAATCTTCGCACAGCTAACTCTCCCCACCGTTACCTCACTAAGGACAGTCACACCCTCTGCTCTTCTTTCCTGCTCCTGCTCAGCCTTCCTAGAAATGTTCTTTTTACCTGGAAGAGTTTTGACCTTGAAACCTGGGCGTCACTTCTAGCTAGCAGTGACCTTGCGAGGATGGAATGCACCCGGTTTCCTCCATACCAAGAACAAGCTTAATGACTGTTACTAACCTGGAGGGCTCAGTACAGTATCTATGCACGGTATGTTTTTAAGAATTTAGCACTGGTGGTATTTCATGTCTTAGCAAACGGGCCAGAAAACAAAACCGGCCATTGTATTAATGAGCTCTAATAATACGGTTAAGACTCCAGGCTTTAGTTCCTGTTTTACACACCGAAGAATCAGGCAAGTTGCATCTTCTGAATTTGTTTCTCCTTTTGCCTCAAGTAGACTTCACTGATCCAACATAAAAATAAGCGAATATGTGCGTCATGAGTTCCTGGTTCCTTTCTGGCAGGAGCTATAGTGACCATCCACCCAGGGCACTAAAAGTGGGGAGGCTTTAAGGATTGAAGGAAGCCAAAAGATTCATAGGAAGTTAGCATTCGAATAAGAACGGAAAAAATGGTTCACTGTCTAGGTTTTTAGGTTTCTGGCCCTTTCCGTTTTGAGCATCTGTAGGGATCCCAGTCTGAAAATAAGCCTACTACTCTTTCTCCTTCCTTCCCGAGGTCACTTTGAGGGACGGAGCCTCAGGAACCCCGTAAGAAAAGATTGCTGCTCTCGATTCCTCGTCCTGCTGGCTCTCCGGGGTGTTTGGGAGACCTGGCAGGGTAAAGCTGCCAGTCAGTCCCTGCCATTTAGCAAAATTCAGCGAAAAGGCGGCGCTGCGGCTCTGCAAAAAAGGCTCAGCGAAGAGAGACCGTCAGCCGGAGCCACCCGCGGGAAGGGTTCCGGGACGCAAGGACGCCGGGTCACGTGGGCGCGGCGGGCGCGCGCCCCAGCCCCGCGGGAGGAGGTGCGCCGGGAGGGGGCGGGGCCGGGGCCTCCCGTGAAGCCCCGCGCGCGGAAGGACCGGAACTCCGGGCGGGTGGCTTGTTGATAACATGGCGGCAGCAGCTGCCGGGGCATCCCGAGGAGGCTGCAGCGCCCACACCCGGAAGAAGGGGCTGTTTTCTGGCTAGTGCGGCGGCTCCTGCGGACCCGGAAGTCCCAGCCAGCTGCTGAATGAGGGGAGCCGGGCCCTCCCCGCGACAGTCCCCCCGCGCCCTCCGCCCCGACCCGGGCCCCGCCATGTCCTTCTTCCGGCGGAAAGGTAGCCGTGGGGTCGCCGGCGGGGGGCGAGCCGGGCGGCGGGGGGGCGGCTGGCCTGCAGGGGCTTCGTCAGGGCGGCTGCGAGGCTCTCGGTGAGCCGCTCGGCCTCGGCGCCGACACCCGCGGTTGCGGTGCACTGCCCGGGACTCCGCAGGGTAGAAGGTGGCCTCATGCGAGGTCGGAGGGGCATTGTCGCTCTGGGCCGAAAGTGCTTGCTCAAACCCCATAGAAGTTAACACTTGTTTGCTAAAGAACGGCCTTTCTGGTGTGTTTGGTTTCCAGAGGTTTGTATGTGTGTGTTGTCTATGTGCAAGAGCGTCCTGTGTGGATCAAGATCAAGGAAATCCCTTTACTTAGAGGAAGTCTGACTTTTCCGAATATTGAGGGACTTATACCTAAAACCACGTGAAACTGTTGTTTCTTCAACCAGCGTTATTTTCTAGTTTCCTCTTTTGGGGACGGGGTTGGAGAGCGAAAGGGGGCCCACTGTTATTCCCAAAATAAAATTTCTTACTACTGAAGTTCCGTATTCAGAAGACTACTGTTTTTGATGATTTAGCAAGTTTACTAATTATTGGAATCGTTGCTGTTTTTATAAATGAGCTACTTAGATTTCTGATGTTCAGTTGTAAAAGCTTGCTTAGTTTTAAAGTAAGAGGCAGGGTGATTTTGATCCTGGAGAAGGTTGTTGCATTTCATTAAAAATACATAACAAATTGGAACAAGCAAAATCTCTTTAGATGGTGATGGTTGTATGTGTCCATTCTTGTTGCTTCAGAGAAGATATACCAGACAGATTTAAAAAAAAATTACACTTACTCAGACTTGTATTCACACGACAGCTTTTTCATAAACTCTGTAACCTGGAGCATCCAGTTAACCCACTTTTCTCCCAGCTGAGAATCAGGTGATTCCTAAAGGCCTCATAGGACCGAAGCTGACTGTTAATGCTAGATGGTGAATGAATGAATGAAACTGTTGAAATGGTTGGAAGCTTTTTATCAGTAAAGTGTCTTAATACCCCTGGAGTTATTAACTGTGTGACAGTGTTGGGTGCTTACTTGTTAAGGGGGAAAATACATTCTAAGTATGGGACTAACTTCATGTCGCACGACAACAGACTGTTGTCTGTTCATTCAACACACACTGCCAAGTGTCCAGTCTGCCAGACACTGCTAGGATGTCATTGAACAGTCATGGGGACATAGTCTCTGTACCTGTGGAGCTCATTGATGCTCTCGGCAGAGAATAAATAAGCAAAAGAATAAAAATTTTTTTAAAAAGTGTGTGTATATCTTTACAAACTGAATGATGTGTAATGAAAGAGTAATTTATGAAAAGAGACCTATTTTGGTTGGGTGTTAGAGGAAGAGCTCAGTATGTCACCTTGAAACATAAAGCTAGTGGAGCAGTATGAGGATGTAACTGTAGAGAGGTCAGGAAAGACACTGTAGGTACCAGGAATAGAGAGAGAGAGCTGGTGCCCTTCAGGAAAGGCAAGACAGCTACTGTGACTGAGGCATACAGAGGTAGGTGGGCAAACACATTATTGAGTTTTATTCCAAATACAGAAAGAATAGATAAAACTTTTGGAGAGGGATAACCTGACAATAAAGAGTGATCTGATTATTTGCGTGGGAAGCTTGAGTCAGGTGGCTCAGCGGGTAAAGACTCTTACTGAGAAGAAGCCTGACCATCTGAGTTTGTGCCCCAGGACCCACAATGGTGGAGGGAAAGGGTGACTCCCGTAAGTTGTTCTCTGACCTCCATACATGTGCTGTGGCATGTCCACACCCACAAAGTAAATAAGCGTACTTAAAAAAAAATCCTTCCAGATGAGTTTTGGAGACTGGATATGGCAATTGAAGCTAGAAACAGGCTTTTTTTTTGAGTGTTGGGTTGAGGCAGTCTAGCTTTGTAGCCTGGCCTTAGGATTTACTGGTGTGATCAGGGTGCCTGCCCTCAGACTTGTAGCCATTATTCTGCCTCTAGTATTGGGATTGCTGGCATGTATCACCACATCTGTCTTCTGAAAACCATCTTATAAAGAGCCTCCCCCTCACTTCATTTTTCTTCCTTGATGAAGTTTACTATGTCACATTTCACTTAAAATGGTAAATCTGAAAGCAGGAAAGGGGGTTGGCGGTAGCTCAGCCCTTCAGAGCATGTGTCGTTCTTGTACAGAGGAACCCACATGGCAGCTTATAACCATCTGTAACTCCAGGTCCAGGGAATCCTGTACCCACCCTCCTCTGGCCTCCTTGGGCACTAGGCATGCACATGGTATATATACACAGAACAGGTAAAACGGCAACAACAAACCAGGGGGAAAATGATAACAATTACCGTAGTGTTTTCTCATTTTAGATTGCCTCTCTGTCTATATTGCATTAAGTTTTACTTTTGGATCTAAGTCTTTTGAGAGATACTGTTTGTAATTCTGTCATGGTTTTCATCTCTTTTATTTTAGCGGGGGGGGGGGGGGGGGGGATCAAATTAGTATCTTGATATGTGGCATTACTGGCCTTAAACAGCAGTCCTTTCTCAGTCTTCTGAGGACAGGATTACAGGGATGTAATAGAGCATGGCTTGTCTGTCTCTTCTGGTATACACGCCCTGGAATGAATGGAGTTACAAGATTTTCATTTGTCTTTGAGAATATCTTAAAGATGTCTCTCCTAGTCTTTAATCTCAGCAGTTGGGAGATGGAGGATCTCCGTGAGTTCAAGGCCAGTCTGGTCTACAGAGTTCCAGGCCAGCCAGGGCTACACAGAGAAACCCTGTCTCAAAAAAAAAAAAAAAAAAAAAAAAAAAAAAAAAAAAAGAAAGTCTTGTCATGATGGCCCTTTTATTTCTACTTTGACATAGAAATGTTCCAAAGGAATTAGCATTGACTTTTTTATTTGTATGGGTGTTTTGCCTGTGTGTGTGTGTGTGTGTATGTGCACCGTGTGTGTGCCTATGCCTGAACAGGCCAGAAGAGAGCATCTGATCCTCTAGAACTAGTTACAGATGGTTGTGAGCCACCATATGGGTGATGGGAATTTATTGTAACTACTTGATTCCTTCATAAATACATCTCTGTTTACCTGTTTTCCTAGTAATAAACTTGTTTTTTAATTTTTACTTACAAATATTGACATTGATAATTATTCAAGTAGGTATTTTCCTATGCAAATATGCAAGGATATCGCCCGGCTGAGATAACAAATGCAAAGTGGTGAGAACAATTGCCCTACTGTAGCCATGCTTTTCCTATTCTCATCCTTGCTATTTTTAACTGTGGCCGGCTTTCTCCTTTTGAAATGTTATTGATAGGCACAGTTGCACACTGGGAAGCCAAGATCTAGCTCTCAAAACATAAACTATCACACCTGGCCACTTGGCACTGTGCTGAATATTCCAACCAGATGAATAGCTCATGGCTCTGAAAACCAGAAGACACAAGCAGAAAGGAGAATCCTTTTTTCAGTACAGTGACCTCAGCCTTCAAAGGCAATAAAGATCCTGCCGTCATTTGCTGGACCTACAGAAGAGCAGCAAATGTGTGAACTAATTTCAGCCCACTCCAAGACACTCAGAAGCTGCATTTGAGATGGAGCCTTTTCCTTCTAGAAATTTGTTTTTTAAATTCTTTAAATTACAAGTGTGTGTGAGTGTATGTGTGTGTACATGGGAATACAGGTGCCCTGAGTTCAGAAGAGTGTCAGATCCCCTGGAGCTAGAGTTACAGTCAGTTGCAAGCCACTCAACACTTGTGGTAGTATCCAAACTCAGGTTCGCTACAAGAGTAGTATGTGCTCTTTTTTTTTTTTTTTGCCCCCCAAGAAAGGATTTCTCTTTGTAGTCCAGGCTGTCCTGAAACTCACTCTAGACCAGGCTAGCCTGGAACTCAGAGATCCACCTACGTCTGCCTGAGCGCTGGGATGAAAGGCATGCGCCACCACATGCAGCAGTAGTATGTGCCCTTAACTACAGAACTTTAAATACCATTCTCTACCCCAAGAGCAGATGTTTGTTTGTTTCTTTTCCCTCTGAATCATTTCAAATTTTGTTATATTCACCAGTTGTGCTCCTTTCCATTTGGACATTTTTTTAAATATATATTTTATTATTTTGTGTGGGCAAGGTGTCACTGGGCACATAAGACTGAGTACAACTTTGTGGAGTCAGTTCTTTTCTCCCAACTTAATGTGGGTCCTGAAGATCAAATTCAGGTCAATCAAGCTTATGTGGCAAACACTTCATAGGCTAAGCCATCTCTCCAGTTCCTGGAATTTATTTCTGTATTTCAGAGACAAGATATACCATTGATCAAATCTCCCACACCACCAGTTTTTTGGTTTTTTATATATATGCATGTTTGTGTGTATACCGTGTGTGTGTGTGTGTGTGTGTGTGTGTGTGTGTGTGTGTGTGTGTGTGTCTGATGCCTTAGAAGGTGTGAAGAGGAGGTTGGATCCTATAGCTAGGGAGAGCTGTGAGCCACATCGTGGGTGCTGGAAACCAATCCTGGGTCCTCTGGAAGAGCAGCCCAGGCTCTTGACCACTAAGCCATCTCAGCAGCACAGTGCACCACCAGTTACTGTAACACAGACATGTTGGTATGTTTAATAGTGCAAACAGAGACCTTTGAGGTCACAGTGCACCACCAGTTACTGTAACACAGACATGTTGGTATGTTTGATAGTGCAAACAGAGACCTTTGAGGTCAGCAGAACTTAACAAGTTACAGTTGGGGACTTGTGGGATGGCTCCTCAGGACAAAGTGCTTGCTGGGAAGTCTGACAACTTGAGTTCAGTCCCTGGAACTCATGGTGAAAGTAGAAAGGACTCACAAACATTGTACTCTGATCTCCATATACGTGTGTGCTGACATAGACACACACAGTGCAATGGATAAAATAAAAGATTTGAGATTAAAAAAATGTGTATGGGTGTTTGACCTACATGTATGTTTGTGCATCATGTGTATGCTGTGCTCTTGGAGCCTGGAAGAGAGCGTTGATCACCTACAACTGGAGTTCCAGTCAGTTGTGAGCCACCATGTGAGTACTGGAAATCAAGTCTGGGTCCTCTGGAAGAGCAGCCATTGCTCTTAATCATGGAGCCATCTCTCCAGCCCCAAATAAAAATTTTTTAAAAATGTAAAATGCAGGGCTGGAGAGATGGCTCAGAGGTTAAGAGCACTGACTATTCTTCCAGAGGTCCTGAGTTCAATTCCCAGCAACCACATGGTGGCTCACAACCATCTGTAATAAGATCTGGTGCCCTCTTCTGGCTTGCAGGAATACATGCAAACAGAACACTGTAAACATAATAAATAAATAAATAAATCTTTAAAAAAAATGTAAAATGCTTATACTCTGGTGCTTTTCAGAATAAGTTTGTGAACCTTTAATATAGATATAGATGTATAGATACAGCTGTAGAATAAAAGGTAGGAGATACGGAATTTTTCCCACTAGATAACTATTCACTCCATAAGCAAGGTGATAGCAAAGTGCTTGTGCTTTCCCAATCTTTATAAAATCAGCTCCCTCTTGACATTTAAGCTGAAATTCAAATAACATCTCAGAGGACTTCCTTAGGTACCCAGTCTAGACAGAGGCACCTGCCTCAGCCAGTGTTAACTGTCAAGAGTGGTGACACATGCTGAATGTAGGTTGTGTTCTGGGATAGCCCATAACAGACCTGCTGAATACAGAGCAGGAAAGAAAGACGTTCAAGGATCGACTGAAGTTTTACCCTGAGAAAGTCAATACTAAAAACCTGATGATAGGTCTACATGAGCCAAGTTTGGAGTTGAGTTTCAGGTAATTTAAGTAAACCTGTCAGAGATAAAAAGTGGACCATAGTCAGCTACACCAGTCTGGATTTAGATGAGGAGCAAAGCCGAAGATGTAAACTTGGAAGTTAGGAATATACAGGTGATGTTACAAGATGGCATTGGCCCCGTTTCCTGGCTGTCGTGAAGTAAATGGTCTCCACCTACCCCTATGTTTTACCTTTTCACAAGCTCACACAGCAGCGAGCAGTGGACTGGGGCTCTGAGAGTCACTCCTCAAATGACACGACAGGAGCAAGGGCGGTTCAAAGTCTGTGGCGCGCGAGCCTTTAATCCCAGCACTCAGGAGGCAGAGGCAGGGGGATCTATGAATTTGAAGCCAGCTTGGTCTACAGAGTGAGTTCCAGGACAGCCAGGGCTGTTACACAGAGAAACCCTGTCTCCAAAAAAAAGTACTTAAAAAAAAGTCAGTGCTAATTCTTAATGGGGCATTTTTGTGTGAAAATATAAGGACCGTCATAACAGAACTTAAGATATTATTTAAAAAGAAAATGAGAATCTTGTAATTTCATCCGCTCTAGAGCACAGGTTTTTCCATCTCCTTATATCAGAAGAGACGAATAGGCCACAGTGTGATGGTGGGTGGTGCGGTCATGCAGATCTAGCACTTAGAAGGCTGAGGCAGGAGGACTGCTGTAAAGTACCAGTCAGTCACTCTGTCACATATCCGGGTGTTTTCTGTTACCAATGGCAGTGACTACTACCGGCAGCCAGCCACCTTACCTTTTCTGTGTTGATGCCTACATGCTTGGAAGTAGATTTGCTGAAGGCAAGGGCCCTTTTCTGATGCAGGAGAGTTGGGCACATGCCAGAGACTCGGGCTGTTGGTAGGTTGACTCGAGGGGGATACCCTGAGAACCAGCTATTCTTTGCTACTGGCTTTTCAACGTTAATATTTCAGAATATAGAGACCTGGCACATTCTGAGATTTCTTACTTTGATAAGCCACTCAAGATGAATCCAAGGAAATTTAATGTTTAAAACTAACACAAGAAAAGTAAAACAGATTAAAAATAACCTCATGTCAGGTCTTATAATAGAATCCACACTTGCCTAGAGCATTTACAGCTTTCTTACTTGCTGTTGTGAGCTTCTCTGCTATAGAATTTTCACTGTTTTGTGTAATAAAGGAAAGATTATGTAATCATTTTAGAGACAACTTGTGAGACCTTAGACTTAGGAATTGAGGTTGTAAGTTTGAGATGTTTGTACTCAAAGCTAGGGAGGGCATACAAAAGAAGTAAGATGCTATATATAACCAAGAAGTCTTTTTCTTTACTGCACTTGTAGGCAGCATAGTGGATGATGTCGTGGTATTAACATCCTAAATTCATTTCAGACGCCTTTTACAAGTGTTCCACTTTTCATCAGCAACCCTCTAAATGAGTTTTATTAATGACCTGATTTTACTACTTGAGGAAATTAACATTCAGTGAAATAAAATAACTTGCCCAAGATTACATAGCTGATAAGTAGCAAGAGGCAGAACTTGACTGTAGCTGTTTTGAAGGTTGGCTCTTGAGAAGCCCTCCCTGAGGTTTGATCAAGACCTCTTCGAGGGTTAGTTTCTCAGAGAATTCTTTCCTGAGATCTGTCCCACCCCCAGGGCACATAGTTCATTGTTTTGGAACTTAGAATACCTGTCTGTTAGATTCAAGAGTCTGATGGTGACAATTTATAGAATGGATCTCTTTGACTGCTATAGTTGGTCATGATGCCTTTTTGTGTTCTAGTGAAAGGTAAAGAGCAAGAGAAGAGCTCAGACGTCAAGTCCATCAAAGGTGAGTGAGTTCTCTGTATTCACAGCAATGGGCTTTGGGGTTAGGAGCGCTCTGATTTTTATCTCCTCTCTTCTTGTGACAGTAATCATTCTTCAGTGTTATGATTATTTATAATTATGACTTATTCTCTCTTAACATGTCTACTCTAACAGGCTTTTACTGGCATTTGCTGGCTGCTCTAAAGTGAAGCAGCTCCTTATTAGTCAGACATTTGATTGTTCCCTAACAGTAATTCATCGGCTTTGTTCAGTAAAACAAACACTGAGCTGTGACAGCTAGAGAGCCTCCCATTTACAAGGCTGGTTTTCTCTCTGCTCAGAAATGTGGACGAGTACAGTTTTCACTGTATTAGAATCAATGGCCTTCAGTTAAGCTTATTCACAGTACTTTGTGAATGTTAATGCACTGTTCTTATTTATGGGCTTAAGTATGCTTTTCTTTCTTTTTTTTAAGTTATCTCTTCTGGGTGTTTTTATTCGATGTCTAGCATATTGAGATTGGGATGAGAAAATTTACAATAGAAAATTATTTCCATAGCCAGTACATACAAATTTCATTGTATAACATAGCTAAAATATGCAGAATACTGCTTAGATTTTTCTTGTGTTTTTTGATATGTGGCCAGCATTGAGTGTTTACCGTCTGCTCAATTTGCCAGAGAGTATAATTGTAACATTTACACGGTTTGCAAGATTAGAGGAAAAAATGCCCCTACAACCTTATTGTAAACTTATCACTGATAATTTAAAGTAAGCTGGATTCGGTACTAAGCTGTTTTCTTTAAGCCAGCTGTGACTGGCATTTGGTAAAGGTGAAAGGTCCTAGGCGGACGTTTGTGAAGCAGTGGTTTCTGACTGTGTTGTGGGAAGGGACTAGCACTCGAGGCCGTCAGAGCAGTGAGGAGGTGGGCAGCATTTTGTTTTCCAGTGGGTTTCTAGTTCTCTAAATTAAAATTGAGCTTTAGAAACTTCATGATAGGTGGGTGAGGTGAAACGTGCCTTTAATTACAGCACTCAGGAGACAGGCAGGCAGGTCTTGGTGAGTTTGAGGCCAGTCTGGCCTACTTAGCCAGTTCCGGCACAGCAGGACCCTATCTCAGAAAAAGAAAAACCAAGTAAATAAATAATGTCCCCTCCCCCCAAAAAAGAAAAACCTCACAAATAATATATAAAATAGATTTCATGCTCATAATCTGCTAGTGAGAGCACATAATCTCTGCTCAGCTGTTATAGACTTGACCTTAGGATAACAACAGAAGCATTAAAAGAAACTGCCCTTCCAGAAGTTTGTACTCTGAGGGACTCAGCGGGTGAAAATGCGGTGGCAGGAGAGAACTGATTCCTGGAAGTTACCCTCATGTTTCCACAAACACTCCCTGCCGCACAAGCACGCACACTTGTTTGCATGCATGCATGTGCACACATATGCATACACAGAGACATATGTAGGGATAAAAGTTGCAGTGTGAGTAGCAGGACCTACTTAGATAGTAATGGCCTCCATTTATAGAGCACTTTTAATTCCTTTCTGTTTTGGTTTTTCAAGATAGGGTTTCTCTGTGTAACAGTGCTGGCTGTCCTGGATCTTGCTCTGTAGACCAGGCTGGCTTCAGACTTACAGAGATCCACCTGCCTCTGTCTGCCTCCCGAGTGCTGGGATTAAAAGGTGTGTGCCACCACGCCCAGCTAGCATTTTTATTCTTGACATTAAAAAGTTGGCTGTAACAGAGACCATGAAAGACTGGGATATTGCTTTTATTTATTGAGATTGGTAGAGGAGAGGAAATTTTGCCAAATAATTTTACAGGTGATTTGAACTAGTGGTGGTAATAAAGAGATCAGGACAAAATTGAAAGTGCAACAGGTAAAATGAATTGAAGTTTGTTACTGATTAAATCTGAGATGCAAGGGACACGGATGTAAGGTTTATCACTTGCTACCTTTCTGGCTTGCCTCACAGAACCAAGCCTGGGAATTACATGTTCAGTTGTAGTATATTGCGTGGGAAGCACTTTTGAGTCATTCATTTTTATATGTTTCACACACAGTAATTCTAGGGTCTGAGGTTTTAACCAAAGATATGAGACTCTAGGTGACCTAGGTTGGAATGCTGCCTGTTGAAATGGCCCTTCCCAAGTTCATAGACCTAGGACAAAGTATTTAACTTTTCTGTGTGTTTGCCTTTACCTATAACACGGAGGAAATACCAGTCTTGAAGAATTGTCCAGAGAGATCAAAATGAGTAAAAAGCCATAGACACAGAAGCAGAGTGCCTGTCTGTCACAGGTGCCCGATGGCAGTGATTACTGCCTAGTGTTAACATAGTGAGCTGATGTGAAGGATTGCAAGGAGCCCAGAAAATCTGAGGTCAGTAAACTTTAGGGAAGATTTCATGGGAATGATTCGGTCTATATACTCACTGAAGAATAAGAGGATTTAGATGAAAGAGAAGATTGTTTATTTTGTCCCTGCCAGCCTTTAAATTTTTTTTTTAATATATATATGGGGTAGAGGAGCCTTCAGCTAAGGAAAGGGAAATTTTTACAAAATGATTGAAATGAGGTTATACAGAGCCAAAAAGACCAGAAAATAGGCCCTAGTCACTGATTTGCAGCCAAAGATTCAGCTGCCTCTCTGTCCAACCCTCTTGATTCCTGATGCTCCAGTGCTTCCCGTCTGTCCAGTCTGTCCATCCACGCCCCTTTTTCCTGTAGCTCCCTTCTGTAGGCCATTTCCACCAAGAAGGAGGAATTGTATCCAGTTCTTGCTCTCTAGAACTTCAAAGTTGATGACCTACTTCCTACTGGCATTCAGTATCCATGTAAGAATCCAGTTGACAGGAAGACCCTTCAACTGCTATCCTAGGGATCACTGATGATTATGATAAAAAGAAACTAGTAAGGCATTTAAGAAGAAATTTGCCTTTGTTACCATTGTACCATAATTGAGCATCTCGAATATGGAGGTGTAATTCATCTACAGAACATATACCAGTGCCTAATAGAGACTGGATTGGCTAAGGGTGATTCCCTGAAGGTTCATGGGTTTTAAGTGCTTGTGGCTCCCAGGAGCTTAAGTGAGGATTTCCTTCCAATGAGTAGAATTTCCCTTCTGTCCCTTGTCACAGTTTTAAAAAACCTCACATCTGTGTAATGTATCCATTTGAGGTTCACTCATACTAGTGCCTCTTCTTCATGCAATAGACGAAAAAGAGTGATCCCCCCCCCCCCCCGGGGGAAAAAAAAACAAAAAAACGAAAAGCCAGAAAAGAAAGTTGAGCCAGATAAAATGTGGTCCTTTGAGCAGCATACTGATGTCATGTGGTTTTCATGACAGGTATTCCGGAAGAATTCTAAGAATGAGACTCAGAAATTCTTTTGTACTGTAGGAAAAAGAGTTAGTCTTGAAAATAAATAAGAAAGTAAACTACTCCAAGAAAAGAAAACAGATAGTGAAAAAAATCAGATAGTGAGAAAGAATGAGACTGTGCTTTTGAGCTTTGCCGACTGGTGGATCTGAACAGACAGACAGAAATTAGAAAGGAGAATTGGTTTAGAAGAGGTGATGAGTCTTATATTTGGACAAATATGTCTGGATGTGCAAAGCCAGAGTGGGAATCCCCAGCAATAAATAGGAGTGTAAGAACAGAGCCCATATCAAAGGATAGATATGAAATCGGGCCAGGGGTTCCTCAGCTGCTCCCCAGAGGCTTCCCCAGGAGCTGTTGCCAAGGAAACAATAGAGGTACATTACCTACTCTACTTTTATTGGTTTTGTAGACATAATTAGGTCTGATTTTTACTAAGTTTATTTAAGGGGCAAGAGCTTATAGTTTAAGGTTTGCAAACTTTTGCTTTAGTAATAACAGAAGGTTTGAAAATAAATGTACTTTCTAGAAGAAAGCAATATAGAATATCTTTAGGAAGAAGAGTCAAGGAAGGAGGCCATTTCTGACAGTGGACACTTAGGAGATGAATTTTAGAATGAGAAGGATGAACAGACTCAAGAGGAAATTAGGGAGTGTGGTGCCATGGAGTCCAAAGAAAGAGACTGTTGGGAAGGAACAGGGGCAGGTGGGAAGCATGAGTTCTGACAGAATAGTGAGGAGGGGGAGAAAGGCCTTGTGTTTTCCCTGCATGGATATGTGTACACCATGCACGAAGAAGGGATAGAACTAGAGTTACAGATGGTTGAGAGCCACCATGTGGGCCCTGGAAACATAACCCTGGCCCTCTTTAAAAGCAAAGACTACTAACTGATTGACCACTTTCCTCTCCAGCCCCTAAGAGAAAGTACTACACAAATTTATTCATAGCATTTTTGTTATCATGGCTTTCTAATTAAGATATGATTAGAAAGAAGACAGTCACATAGAATTTTCTGTGTAGCTATTGTCTGAATAAAAAAACTAGCCGGGCATGGTGGTAGGGCTCAGGGGGTAAACGTGCTTGCCAACGGCAAGCCTGGAGACCCTGGGTTTGATCTCCTGGAACCCACATAAAGGTGAAGGGGAGAACCAATTCTACAAAGTTGTCCTCTGCATTCCACGTGTGCACTGTGGCAGGTGTGCCCATACACAGAACACATACACACATGCTTGTAAATAAGTACATTCTTCTAAACCGAAAGCTGGCTGTGGTAGTGCACACCTGTAATCCCTACACTCTGGAGGCTGAAGCAGGATTATGAGTTTGAGGATGGCCTGGCCACTATAGTCTGACCTTGTCTCAAAAATGACAAGTTAAGGCCGGGCGGTGGTGGCGCACGCCTTTAATCCCAGCACTCGGGAGGCAGAGCCAGGCGGATCTCTGTGAGTTCGAGGCCAGCCTGGGCTACAGAGTGAGTTCCAGGAAAGGCGCAAAGCTACACAGAGAAACCCTGTCTCGAAAAACCAAAAAAAAAAAAAAAAAAAAAGACAAGTTAAAAGCAAAACTGTTGTTTATAGACTTGCTAAAATGGTTTTACTTCCTTCAATTTAACATGAAAAAAAATTAAGACGGCCTTCATTTAAAGTTGAACAAATAGTTTGAAGGCAGTTTTTCTCCATTCCATAATTTCTGAACTTTTGAATGGCTGACAGACTTACATATTTGGTAAACAGCTGTGTATGTTCCATTTGTACCTGCTTTAGCCTGTAAACATCTCAGAGAGCCATCAGTTGGGTTGTAGTACTCTGTATCCATCATAAGAAATAGTTCTGAGTGTTACGAGATTGTGAGCACTTATAGGGGTACTAGGAGATGCAGCTTGAGAGATTCTTGAGGCCCGTGCCATTTCTCTCTTTCCTGTTGTAGCAACGTAATACACTGAAAACTTTTTTGGTGTTTTTTTTGTTTGTTTGTTTGTTTGGGTTTTTTTGTTTTGTTTTTTTGTTTTTTTGTTGTTTTGTTTTTTCGTTTTTTTCGAGACAGGGTTTCTCTGTGTAGCTTTGCGCCTTTCCTGGAACTCGCTTTAGAGACCAGGCTGGCCTCGAACTTACAGAGATTCGCCTGCCTCTGCCTCCCGAGTGCTGGGATTAAAGGCGTGCGCCACCACCGCCCGGCTGCTTTTTGGTTTTTCAAGACAGAGTTTCTCTGTAGCCCTGGCTGTCCTGGAACTCACTCTGTAGACCAGGCTGGCCGTGGACTCAGAAATCTGCCTGCCTCTGCCTCCCGAGTGCCAGGATTAAAGGTGTGTGCCACCATGCCTGGCTTTCCAAAACTTATTCAGAATGTTCTCTAAGATTCATTACTACTTGTGTGAACTAGATAGGACAAACAGAGTTTTAACTCGGCTTCAGCAGCAAGTTTAAGTGCCGCTCTGACAGTGTTACAGTATTGAGTCAGTTTTTCCTGCCACTGTGTTGGTAACTAACTTCCTACTCTGGGAACTGAGCTCTTGTTCTTTAGCAGCTGAGCGCTCTCTCCAGCCTATAATTTAGGATGCTGAAGTCAGACTACTAAAGAAAATGTTTTCTGAACAAAACAATTTGTGGTATTGAGGATCAAACCTAGGGCCTGCTTGACACATGCTAAATAAACAACTCTACTACCCAATTGCATCTCCATTGACTTTGTAAATTTGAAGTGATTATTATTATTATTATTATTATTATTATTATTATTATTATTAGTTTTTTGAGTCAGGGTCTCATTATGTAACCTTGGCTTGCCTGAAACTCACTATGTTGACCAGGCTGGCCTTGAACTCGAGAGATTTCCCCCATCTCTGTCCCCTTGTGCTGGTATCAAAGGCATGGGACCCTTTGCCCTGCCTAAGAGTGCTTAAGTAGCTTGAACTTTAGTAATCAGTGTCTTTATTAGATGAATAAACTTTGTTGCTCAATTTAAAAAGTAAAGTATTGTGATGAACATTTTTCTAGATTTTTTTTTTTCTCTCTCAAGAATTTATTCTAGGGGTTGGGGATTTAGCTTAGTGGTAGAGCACTTGCCTAGCAAGCACAAGGCCCTGGGTTCAATCCTCAGCTCCAGAAAATTAAAAAAAAAAAAAAAAAAAGAAGAAGAATTTATTCTAAATTCAGGTCTGTTTGTGAAGCAAGCAAATATTAAGAAGTTGAAAAGGTCCCCATTTCAAAATGCTTTCTAGATTTTTATACTTTTCTCTTTTGGAAGACAGGTTTTGCCATGTTGCCTAGACTAACCTGGAACCTGACTTGACTTCCTGGCTCCCTGCTGGAATTGTGGTTATATACCACCAAACTCAGCTTGCCTTCTGTCCTTTTAATTTTTCAGAGAAAGATCTCTCTGAGTTAGAGTTTTGGTGCAGTATTTTGAGAGTTATAAATTAGAATAGATTGTTTTCTTTCCACTTTGCTTGCTGCTTGATAGAACTATCTTCTATTTATTTATTTATTAGAGATAGGCTATGAAGGCCTGGCTGTCCTGGAGCTCTCTCTGTAGACCAGGCTGGCCTTGAACTGATAGAGATCCACCTGCCTCAGCCTCCCATTTGCTAGGATTAAAGGCATGTGCCAACATGCCTGGCTTATTTTATTTAAATTTTATTTATTTAATGAGTATGGATGTTCGGTCTGCATGTGTACCATGCATGTCTGTGCATCATGTGTGTCTGGTTCCCCACAGAGGCCAGAAGAGGGCACCAGATTCCCTGAAACTGGAGTTGCAGGTGATGCTGGGCTTGTACCTGGATGTTCTGGAGAGTAGCCAGTGCTCTTAGCTACTGAACTGTCTCTTCAGCCCCTTAGCTATCTTTGAGTGTTGCTTAAGTATTAGAAAGTTTAGTTTTTTAAATTTTCTTAAAGCCTGCTCATGGGTTTCAGATCATCAAATTGTGTTTAACTTTAAACTTTTTTTTTTTTTTCAAATTTATAGCTTCAGTAACAGTACATTCCCCACAAAAAAGCACTAAAAATCATGCCTTGCTGGAAGCTGCAGGACCAAGTCATGTTGCAATCAATGCCATTTCTGCCAACATGGATTCCTTTTCAAGTAGCAGAACAGCAACACTTAAGAAGCAGCCAAGCCACATGGAGGCTGCTCATTTTGGGGACCTAGGTAAGTGACCACTTCTTACTAACGCCTAATCAAGGACAAACTTAATAAAACATATGAGATTCCAATCAAAGGATATTGAACTCCATGATTGGAAGAGACTTTGAAAAAAATGCATCAAAAAAATAACCACAAGAGTAATGAGGTAGTGCTGTATTGTGTTCATGTAAATATAAGAAATGTCCAATAGAAAAATAAAGAGGTGTATTTGAGCACTTAATAAGAATGCGCAAAAAAAGATTACTTATTTCAAATAAAGAAATAAAAATAAAAGGCCGGGCGGTGGTGGCGCACGCCTTTAATCCCAGCACTCGGGCGGCAGAGGCAGGTGGATCTCTGTGAGTTCGAGGCCAGCCTGGTCTCCAAAGCGAGTACCAGGAAAGGCACAAAGCTACACAGAGAAACCCTGTCTTGAAAAAACCAAAAAGTAAAAAATAAATAAATAAATAAAATAAAAAAAGATTACTTATTTCAGTAGTACTCAGGGAGATACAAATCAAAATAATAAATCGAAATATTAAAATATATTCAGAATTTGCTAATTTGAATGTTAAGTGGAGTTGAAGGAAACGGCCACTCCTAGTTAGCAGTGGTGTAAATGAGTAAAAAAGAGTATTTTGGAAAGCAGTCAGTTTGGAAGTATTGTCTGATTCCACTGTTAGAAAAACTGGTAGTCTGTCTTTAAATAGGAAATTGTTACCAAATGGTTATTCATTTGCTTCTGTCTTTTAGGCAGATCCTGTCTGGACTATCAAACTCAAGAGACCAAATCCAGTCTTTCAAAGACCCTTGAACAAGTCTTGCGTGATGCTATTGTCCTCCCATATTTCCTTCAGTTTATGGAACTTCGGAGAATGGAGCACTTGGTGAAATTTTGGTTGGAGGCTGAAAGTTTTTACTCTACAACTTGGTCCCGAATAAGAGCACACAGTCTGAACACAGTGAAACAGAGTTCACTGGCTGAGCCTGTCTCTCCATCTAAAAAGCAGGAAACGACAGCATCTTTTGTAACTGAATCTCTTGACAGGAGGTTGGGGGATTCTAGTTCAGCCCCACTGCTTCTGACTCAACCAGAAGGAGTTGACCTGAGTAGTAGAACTCAGACCACTCAGACTCACTTGCTGCTCTCCCAGGAATGCCACAGTGCCCACTCTCTCCATCTTGAAATGGCCAGAACAGGAACTCATCAAATCTCCACAGACTCCCGAGACTCCTCTTCCAGACTTCCAGTAGCCAGTAGAAGTAGTACCTCTTCTCCACTGAGAGAACTATCAGAAAAACTAATGAAAAGTAAGTAAATATGTGATGTCTGTGCCTTGTCACAGCGCAGGACTTAAAACAAGGAATGAAAGTGTCAGAATAGTGTCTTTGTACCTCTAGCTCACAAATGGAGGAGGATTTGGAGGGTTGAGTGGAGTCGGTGTGCAAAGGATCAGGAAGTATATCTGAGTGACTGCCTTGCTGTGTGCTAACAGCAGACCGTGCAGCAGGACAATGTGCTGCTCTTTTTCCCACATTTGGAAGGGAAGCCGTTGTCCGAGGAGATGACCTCCTCTTGGTCTCGGTCCTCATATATTACTACTGTGACCTGCACCTGGTAGGTTAATTCTTTTCATGTTTTAGATTGCTGGTAGGTATCATTTATTGAGTTCTGTATTAAGTATCTATTTGGATTTCATCTAATTGTCATAACAGCTGTGTTAAGTAGGTATTAATATCCTGTTTACCCTTGAGAATACTGTGGTTTAGAAAATTCCTTCCCTGGTTGTCTAGTAAGTGAGGAGCTAGAGTTAAACCCAGGCATTTTGAAAATAGCACTTTTTTTATTTCCTGTTCTGTTAGTTCAGAAATTGCACCACCTTCTCATTTTTGTAATTCCTGCTCTTTGGAATTCTTATTATCCAGTCTTATTATCTTTTTATCTTCTCTATTTCTCAAAGGTTGGATGATTTCTTCAAATGCTTGTAGCTTACAGAGTGTCTATAAAGACAGGTCTGGTCTGCTAATGAATATAGTGTTTTATTTAATCTTGGAAAGTTCTGAGTTTTTGTAAAATTTTATTTTACTCTGTGTGTATATGTGTGTGATTGTGGGCATGCAAGGTCTGTCATGCATGTAGAGGTCAGAAGAGAGTTCAGGCTTGCTTCTTTCCACAGTCGGCTGCAGGGATTGGCTCTCAGGCTTGTGGGACAAATGGTTTTGCCCGCTGAACCATTTCTTGAAATGCTTTCTTTCTGACTTTTTGTTGTTGTTGTAGTTTCTTGTTTCCTTTGTTTTTATTTCAATTCTGTTTTTATCTTCTCAGATCTATTCAACACAATTGACTGGTATTCCCATCTACAGTTCTGGTGGATCTGAGGCAGCGTTGTTTGTTTTGTCAGAGTCACAGAGGTGGTGTGGAATGTGGTTTTTCAAGGGGTGGGTGTGTGAACATAGATTTTGTCAAGTTTTACCACAGTTTTCTAGCTGACTGACCTCAACCAGCCACCTGTTTTGTGAACCTGTGTATGTGGACAGTGTTGAGGCTTTGTAAAACTAGAGTTTCTCTCTCTTGCTGTGGTAAAACACTGGCCAGAGGCAGCTTAGAGGAGGAATGGGTTTATATCATCTTACACTTCAGACCACACTCCATCATTGAGGGAAGTCAGGGCAGGAGCTCAAAGAGGAACCTGAAGGTAGGAACCATGGAGGAATGCTGTTTGCTTCACAGGCTTACACCTTCTTATACAGTACAGGATCACCTATCTCGGGATGGGATAGGCCCTCCTGCTTCAATTAAGACAATCTACATAATCCCTCACAGACAACCTGATACAGATAGTTACTCAGTTGAGACTTTTTGGGTGATTCTGGGCTGTTTCAAGTTGATAGTTAATATTAGCAAGCATGGGTAGTCTGTTTCAATAATGTTGGTTCAGAAGTATTTAGATTTGCTTTCCCCATGCACCTGGAATGTGTTTCACTATCTTAGCATTACTTAAAACTAGTGTTATTTGTGGATTTCAGGCCTAAAATTCATATGTGAACAATCTTGTAGACAAGTATTGTCAAAGGAAGATCTCCCTCACCCCCACCTTTTTCTTGAGCATCAGAACACCAGAGCCTCTCTCTGAGAAGTCATTTTTTTCCTGTTCAGTTGTGTCACCGAAAATATGCCCCGCCTTTGTGTTTTCTGCTCTTAGTGGTGACTTCAGTCCTGGGCAGCTTCCTTTAAATGTTAAGTGCCAAATCTGGGAGTTGCTGGAGGTTTTTGTTTTGTTTTTTTTTTTCTTCAAGTAAATGTACTTTTATTACCTGAGTTTACATTCATTCTCCTAAAATCCAAAAAGTTTTGACTAAAGTTATGTGAATAAAACATGACCTGAAGCCGGGCGGTGGTGGCGCACGCCTTTAATCCTAGCACTCGGGAGGCAGAGGCAGGTGGATCTTTGTGAGTTCGAGGCCAGCCTGGTCTACAGAGCAAGATCCAGGAAAGGCGCAAAGCTACACAGAGAAACCCTGTCTCAAAAAACCAAAAAAAAAAACAAAAAAAAAACATGACCTGAGACACTATGAACTTACTGTAGAAATGTAAGTATGTTTAGTTATGTAGTAACATCTAGATGATGCTATGATACTAGCATATTGTATGTTAAACATAATATGTTGTCCTTGTAATAACCATCAGAATTCTGAATTTCAAAGTACTGCTAGCTCTAGAAGATTAAGATAAGGGAACACCTGATTCTGCCCCTCTTCTCAGCACTGTGGCCAGTTATGAGTCTCTGCATTAACCGCTCTGAAGTGAAAAAGAAGCTTTTCTGACTAAGGTTGAGAGTAGCACAAATTTATAGATATAAAGTATTTGGAAGGCAGGCTGATGTGTCTGTTTAGTTTAGTTGGTTTTGTTGTTGTTTTTGAAATTTCACGTTCATGAGTGTTTTGCTTGCATGTATGTCTGTATACCATGTGTGTGCCTGGTACCCATGGAGGCCAGAAGAGGGCATCAGAGCCCTTCAGCTGGAGTTACAGACAATTGTGAGCCATGATGTGGGTGCTGGGAACCAAACTGAACCAAAGTTTTCTTCAAGAACAAAAAGTGTTCTTAGCTGCTGAGCCATTTCCCCAGCCCCCTCATGTTCCTTTAACAGAACAGCAGTAGTAGGCTCCCCTTCATCTCTGGGCCTTTACGGTATTGGACATGAGTCCCTCCTGTGGAGTGTGCCTTGGGTCTTGTCAGCAGTTGGTTGCCTCCATAATAGTCATACCACTATTGACCAGTGGGCACATCTTTCCTGGTAGGTCAGTACTATAGCATGCAGGACCCTCCTTTGATGACTTTTCTCCTCAGCAGCCTGCATGACACTTTCTGACACTGCAAAATCTAGTCATCAGAGAAGTTTCTGGACTAGTTCCATCTTGATTTCTATATATCCCACAACCAAAATGAGTGCTATGTTTAGCGACAGGATAGAGTCCTACTGTGTAGCTGTGGTGGGCAGTCAAGAGCAGTGGCAATAGCCTGCATTGTTTGGGAGGCTCTGGGGTCTCCCTGACCAATAACTTAGAGGGAGCTATCTCAAGCCTGATACTGAGATCTTAATCTATGGCTTCTGTGTTTGTCCACCCATTCTGTTATGTTCAAACTCCTTTATATTTTTAAAATAAGCTTTTAGAAGTAGTAGGTTTCCATAAGGTCTTTGATTCCCTCTCCCTACATCCTCTGGTGTACAATGTCTTTGGAGTAACTTCTTTAGGATATCTATTTACCTTCTCCCTTAGTGTCTGTCAGAGATTAAATGCAGAACTTCAGATTGAGCTATATCCCGTAGTCTGGAATTCATTTAAGAAGATTATAAATTTGGCTTCACGATCTTAGTTTATGTTGTCAAGGGGAGAAAACAAAGTAATTTTTTTTTTTAGCTGACTTTGATAAAGATACTTAATTTTCCTAGTATGTATGTGTCTTTATAACTACCTCCCTGGCTTCCTGGTTGGCTTTGCTGATAGCCCTGTCTATTGTGGTTCTTGTGGTTGGGCCACACTTCCATTGACTAGTTCCCTTCATTGTGTTAAGCTTGGTTTATCATCCAAAATCCTCAGCTAGGGGTTGCTGACCTTCCTGACCTCAGGGCTTTTATATATATATATATGTATGTATATATATATGTATGTATGTATATATATAAAATCTCTCCACCACAACTGTGAGTTACAGACAGTTGTGAACCACCATGTGGGTGCTGGAATTGAATTGAACCAGGTCCTCTGGAAGAGCAGTTAGTACTCCTAACCACTGAGCCATCTCTCCAGCTGCATGACCTCAGGTTTTTTGAGTTTTGATTTTGTTCATAAGAATATTGTTAATAGGGGCTGGAGAGATTGCTCAGTGGTTAAGAGCACTGGCTGCTCTTCCAGAGGTCTTGAGTTCAGTTCCCAGCAACCACATGGTGGCTCATAACCATCTCTAGTGGGATCTGATGCCCTCTTCTGGCATAAAGGTGTACATGCAGATAGAGCACTCATGCATTAAATAAATAAATAAATCTTTTTAAAAAATTGTTAATAACTTAAAATAATAGAAAAATTTGGTTACTTCATGTGGAAATTCATTCTTTCAGTAAGTAATTATGATAAATTTATTCTTGAGTTCTTAACTATACATCTCATTTCTAAGATACAGTAATAAATGCAATAGTCACAGGCTAACCACTCAGGGAAATTTTTATCCAATTTATGAAATATCTGAGGAATTTTCTAATATTTAAGCGTTCATCTTTTATACTTCAATTAATTTTAAATTACTTCATATACCCTGAATTTCAAGACTTTGTTCTTAAAATTTAGTGATCATTCCTTTAAAAAAATTTTTTTAAGATGTATTTATTTTACTTTACATGTATGTCTGTTTTGCCTCATTCATACATGTGTGTGCACATGTATGCCTATTGGATCCCCTGGATGGGAGGCTATGGATGGTTGTGAACCACTATGTGGTACTTATTATTGAATCCAGGTCCTCAACAAAAGGGACAAGGGCTTTTAACCTCTCAGTTATTTCTCCAGTCCCTGAAATATATCATTTTTCCGAGAAACACACACACACACACACACACACACACACACACACACACTAATAAAAAACCCTTGTATTTTAGTTATAAGAATAAAGTTCTAGATATATTTATTTGTGTGGTCTCATGGAGTCACTATTTGAGTTTTGTTATGGTTGATTAAAGACAGGCCTAAGGAATCAGATATTTTAATTAATTAATTTGTGTGTGTGTGTGTGTGTATGGGTGTTTTGTCTGCAAGTATGCCTATGTACCGCTATGTGCAGTGTCCTCAGGCCAGAAGACATTGTACTTCCTCGAACTAGAGTTACAGCCATGTGAACCTCCATGTAGGTTCTGGGAATCAAACCTGGGTCCTTGGGAAAAGTAACCAGTGCTCTTAACTGAGGAGTCATCTCTCTAGCCCCTTAAATATTTTAAAAGCTAATTATTGAAATACTAAATTGAGTAACTTAGTACTTAAACATCCCCCTGATGCCTGAAGGAAAGTTTCCCTTCTCCAGTTTCTGGTGCAGCATAGATGCTAAAAGGTATAGAATATTTTAAGGAAATTTTCTCTTCCTTTTCCTTTTTGAAGTCATATTGCATTTGTGTGTGTGTGTGTGTGTGTGTGTGTGTGTGTGTAAATGAAGGCATCCTTGTGGAAGTTAGAGGACAACTGCTACTATATGGGTCCCTGCGAGCCATCTTTCAGGCCCGCTTTATTATTCATTTAGTGGGTTAGTTTTCTTGTTTTTTTCTTGTCCTCTTTTGATATAGGCTCTTTCTATGTGTAGTCCTAGCCTGGCCCCTTTTTTCTTTTTATTATAGAGTATTAAAATTAGTACAACCTAAGTTGTTGTGTAGTATATTGTTTTGTTGATTTTGACTGATTGGTATTTTATTAATAGTATGGATATTGCCCGACTGGCCCCAAATTCCCTTGGTATGCTTTTAGAATAATCATCCTGATTCACACTCTGAAGTAGCTGGGACTACAAGTGGTATAACTGTATATAGCTCTGGCATAGTCATTGATTTCCTCCCCAACCCCCAAGACAGAGTCTCACTGTGTAGCTTTAGCTGTTCTAGAACTTATTATGTAGACCAAGCTGGCCTAGAACTCAGAGATCTGCCTGCCTCTGCCTCCTGAGTGCTGGGATTAAAGGTGTGTGCTACTGTGTCTGGCTTCATTGATTTAAAAAAAAAAAATGTTTTTATTACTTCTTTGAGAATTTTGTGTTTTGATTGTACTTAACACCCCAAACTCTGCTCAAATCCATACTGCCTTCTGTACCCACCCAATTTTGAATCACTTTTTAAAAAATTATCTTTTTATTTAAATCTATCAAGACTTGTACTATCCAAATAGTCTTATGTATGTGGTCTTCAACTGGAGCGTGATGACTTAGCAGTGACTAGCTATACTCTTAGAGAAAACTGACTCCCCCTATCCCAGCAAGTATCAGTTACCAATGGTTCCTCAGCTAGGGGTGGAGTGGGACTTTGTGCTCCCTCCTCCTCCCCCTTTTGGAGACAGGGTCTCACTGTATATCTTTGGCTGTCTTGGAACTCATTACGTAGACCAGGCTGACCTCAAACTCACAGAGATCCACCTGCCCCTGCCTCTTGAGTGCTAGGATTAAAGGCCTGCACCACCATACCTGACTTACCAGCTCTTCTCTTTGTGCTAGAATTTGAGCTGGCCTGGGCTTGCACAGGTCTTGTATATGCTATCGTAATTGCTATGAGTTCAGGTGTGCAGCTGCCCTGCTGTGTTCGGAAGACACTGTTTCCTTGTAGTAGTCATCTGCTCTTAAACTATTCCTTCCCCCGCTTCCACATGATCCCTAAGTTTTGGGATAAGGGAGTATGATATATATGTTCCATTAAGACCAAACATTCCACAGTCTCTTAATTCTCTCTTCCTTGGCCAGTTGTGAGTCTCTGATGAAGATCGAGTGATGCATCAGTCTATGGATATATAAATAAGTCACTAGGTGTTAGTTACTGTGTCCATTTAGTAGTAGGTTCACCTCGGGGCCTATGAATCTAGCCATAGATTCTTGGATCAATAATGGTGCCAGATAAGGGTTTCATATTACAGAGTAGGCCTTAAATCCAATCTGAAAGTGGCTGGTTACATCCGGGATTGTCCTGCCAACGGTGCTCCAGTGGCCATGTCTTGCCAAGCCGTCCGTTATTGCAGTGGAATCTTATTGTCAAGTTTCAGAGGTAACTAAGAGCTTAACAAGGGCAATGACCTTTAATGTCTCGTAGAGTCTGTGGGACCTAACTTGCCAACAACTCTGTCATCTCTGGTGTTGTCTAGTAGGGCATTGCTACCTCATTATATATAGGGCGACTCACTTTTAACTTTTTATGTATGTGTATATTTTAAGGAAGCTTCTTCTAGCAGTAGTTTTCCATATGACTTTTTCAAAAGGTCTTTAGTGGAACTTACCCCTTCCTATTCCCTTTTCTGCCCTATCCTCCCTGCCTCACCTCAGTTTAACCCTTCCTGTTATCACTAGTCCTTTTTAACCCCTTGTAACAGTATATTCTCTCTCTTCTCCCTTAAAAGCAACCCTCCCCCATGGCCCCTTATTAATATTCTGACATTTGGGTGTTCCAGATGAAACACATATATCTGAAGATTCAAAGCTACAGCCACAAATGAAAGAAAATGTACATGTGCTGTTTGTCTTCCTGGGTCTGGGTTACCTTACTGAGAATGATCGTTTTCTTCCCCATCCGTTTACCTGCAAATTTCACTTTTCTTAATAGTTGAATAATATTCCCTTATGTAGCTGTACCAAATTTTCATTATCTGTTCAGCAGCTGACGGACATTTACGATGTTTCATGCAGATCTACAGAACATTCCACCCAAATACTAAAGAATACATGTTCTTCCAAACAGCCCATGGAACTTTCTCTAAAATAGATCACATAGTAGGACACCAAACAAGTTTCAACAAATATAGGAAAATCGAAATCACATCCCACATTCTATCTGACCACGGTGAAATAAAGCTGAATGTCAACAATAGAAGTGATAAAAAGTACACAAATTGAACAACACACACTGAATCAACATAGAGTGAAAAGAGAAATAAAGAGAAAGTTTTCAATTCCTAGAATTGAACTTGTGAAAATGGAAACACAGCATATGAACATCTAGGAGGCATAATGAAGGCAGCACTAAGAGGAAAGCTTATAGCACTGTGTATGTACATAAAAATATTTGGGAAATGCTTTCTACTAATTTAACGATGCACAGGAAGGCCTTCAAGAACTAAGAGCCATCAACATTGCAGACAGGAAGAAATCAAAATCAGGCCTGAGGGGAGGCTAAGGCTCACCACCAAGATTAGGGCTGAAATCAGTGAAGAAAATACAAGGAATGTTCTTTAAATGGTTGACATGACTTTAGCTAAATTAGGCAGAAGAGAGAGAGGATCCAAATTTATTAAGTAGAGATGAAAAGGGAAACAATACAACAGACACCGAGGAAATTCAGAGAACCTTAAAGACATACTTAAAATCTGTATTCCCCTGAACTGGAGAATCTAAAATAAATGGGTGACTCTAGAGATAATCTTGACCTACCAAAGTTCAGTCAAGATGAAGCAAATGATTTGCTTTCATCCTGTTAACAAGTGCTTGACAGTAACAAACTGAGGAAAAGATGATCCCCTTTGTTTTAGAGGGTTCGGTCCATGGTTCCTTGGCTCTGTGTTTAAGTGTCTCAAACATTATTTATAAATATAGATTTATAAAGATTTTTTAGCTTCTGCGGTTATATTACTGTGCAGATATTTCAAGCTGAGACTCTGGAGAAGAGACAAAAAAGAGATCATTGTTACTAAGGAGCTTAGTAGCTCCTACAGACATTGGAAGAAATAACTGACACAGGGTTTTCCTGTTCTGTGAGAACCACACAGTAAAAGGGCAGTTTTATGTGGAAGTTGACTTGCAATAGCACCACACAGCAAAAAGCCCCCTGCTGTTAGGAACACACTTCCTTTCAGTGGTTTGGAGTTGTCCCTTTCTTCTCTTGCAGGTATAGAACAAGATGCAGTGAATACTTTTACCAAATATATATCTCCAGATGCTGCTAAACCAATACCAATTACAGAAGCCATGAGAAATGACATTATAGGTAAGTAGTACTTGGAAGTCATGGGGAAAAGAACTGACTGGTTTATTGACTAGGATTTTTTTAAATTAACATTATTATTGGTATTTGGTTGTTTGTTTCAGACAGGTTCTTACTATATAGACATGGCTGGCTTGGAACTCCATGAAGCAAAGGCTGGTCTCGTAGAGATCCATCTGCCTCTGCTTCCTGAATGTTGGGATAAAGGCATGCGCCCTCACACCCAGCCAAAAAATTATTTACTATTTTTATGTGTGTATATGTGTGTATGCATGAATTTATGTGTATCACATGAGTGCTAGAGCCCATGGAGACCAGAAGAGGGCATTAGGCCCCTGGAAGTGGAGTTACTGGCAGTTGTGTGTGGCTGTGTGGGTGCTGGGTATTGAACCCAGGTCTTTTGCCAGAACAGCAAGTGCTCTTTACTGCTGAACCATCTCTCCAACCCTGAGGAGATTGTTTGTGTGTGTGTGTGTGTGTGTAATGTAACAGTTCTCTTCCTTGTTTGGTTTTTCTAGACAGGGTTGCTCTGTGTAGCCCTGGCTGTCCTGGAACTTACTCTGTAGACCAGGGTGACTTCAAACTCAGAAATCTACCTGCCTCTGCCTCCTGAGTGCTGGGATTAAAGGCGTGTGCCACCACCGCCCAGCTCCTAGTCTGTTTTCAAAGTACCTTTTTAAAAATTTAGTATTTATTTTATGTGTATATTGTGCGGCGTTTACCCAACCACCCCCACAGTTCCCCAGAGTTTTCTTGAGTGCGAGCAGCAGGAAATATTAGATAGAAGAATTTATTGCAGAGAATATCGCGGAGATAAACAGACAAAATAAAGAATAGCCTCAAGAGGGCCTGGAACCTATTCCAACGGGCCCCGACTGTCTCTGCCCCAGGGTTTTTATAGAGACGCCAAGGGGTGGAGCAAAAGACCTCCTCCCCCAGCACAGCCAAGTGCAGACCATCTCAGACACCTGCACTCAGGCCCGTGGTCCTAATCACCCTCTATGTGGACCTGCTGGGTAAAGCCACGAGGAACCCGAGAACGGGCTCCCACAGTATATAATATTTATTTTATGTTTGAGTATGAACCATGTACATGCAGAAGGCCACAGAGGTCAGAAGAGGGCCATTTGATCCCCTGGAACTGGAGTTACAGGTGGTTGTGAGCCTCCATGTGGGTGCTGGAAACTGAACCTAGGTCTTCTGCAAGAGCACTAAGTACTCTTAGTGCCATTTTTTTCACACACACACACACACACACACACACACACACACACACACACACACACACACACCAGGTACTTTCCTTTTATTATTTTAGCTCACTTCTCTCTTGTATGTTGACCCAGATTCTTGGACTGGGACCAGTAATAGCAAGCACAAGAATAATCATTTTTTATTGACTACTCTGTATGTCTCAGACAATATTCTGAGTATTTTCCTTGTATAAATGTATTTAATAAGAATCTCATGGATAAATACAGTTACCATTTTGTAAATGAGGAAGCTTGAGAATACAGAAGTTAGATGTTTTCAAGAACATGACATGAGGGTTTGTGTTTAGTTTTTGTTTAGAAACAGGGTCTCACTGTGTAGCACTAGCTGGCCTAGAACTTGCTATGTAGACCAGGGAAACTCAGATTCTGCCTGCCTCTACCTTCTGGGGCTGGGATTAAAGGTGTGAACCAACATGCTCTCAGTGACAGTGTGTTCATTCTGTAAGTTGATATTAGCCTTCTTTTATGACCTCACATCCCTGCCAAAATAGACTAGAATAGAAAAATTAGTGTTTCAGAGTTGTTGAGGCAAACATTTCAGAAATGTATTTCCATCGTACATATATCTGCGTAGACAAAACTATGTCAGCAGCTGTGTTTCTCTGGGCTCAAAGTTTCCAAATGGGAGAAGAGGCACTGGAGAAAGGACTAAGTGGTTAAGAGTGCTTCCCGCCCTACCAGAAGATCCATTGCAGTTCTCGGTGCCCTGTGACTCCAGCTGCAGGGACTCATGTTCTCTTTTGGTCTCTGAGGTTACCTGCACACATTTTACACTTACACTTACACACACACACACACACACACACACACACACACACACACACACATACCCTCAGAAATTAAAAAAAATAATTTTTAAAAGAAAACTCTTCGTTGGGGCTGGAAAGATGGCTCAGCAGTTAAGAGAACTGACTCCACTTTCAGAGGTCCTGAGTTTGATTCCCAGCACCCACAGTGGCTCATAACCATCTGTAACTCCAGTTGTAGGGGTCTGGCCCTCTAGCTTCCGTGGGCACCAGGCATGCATGTGGTGCACAAAAATAAATGCAGACCAAACACCTGTTCACATAAAATTAATTATTTTTTTTTTTTAGAAATTGAGAGATCTGAGTATTCTGTGCACAGCTGTAATCCCAGTATTGGGGAGGAAGAGACAGGTGAGGAAGATAGTCAACGATGCTGAGAGGTTAAATAAGATAAACACGAAGAGTTTGGAGGATTTGGCAACTCCACATACCCTCCTCATCTTAGTAATAGTAGACTGTAGACAAAACTTAATTTTAAAAGTCTTCAAGGAGCCAAACCTGGTGGCACACGCCTTTAATCCCAGCACTCAGGAGGCAGAGGCAGGCAGATTTCTGTGAGTTCAAGGCAGCCTGGTCTACAGAGCGAGTCCAGAACAGACAGTACATAATGAGACCCTCATCTCAAAAGAAAAAAGAAAGACTATTTAAAGAAAATGAAGAACAGTAGAAAGTATTAAAAATTCTTATGAGCTATATTGATATGAAGAGTGGATTAAGTCAAGGGACAAGGTCTTTGGTTTTGTTTTTAAAGTAATGCATTACAACCATATAAGTTTGTTATCACATTCAAACAAGAGTATGTGTTTAGCATCCTGCAGGCAGCTGATAAAAGTGAGATAGCAGGGAAACAAAAGTTGAAGGAAAAGACTTGTGGTGGTAAAAAGGATGGAATTTCAGAGCTGGAGTGGAGGGTTGCTCAGATAGGAACAAGAAAGGTTCATCTAGACTGGGGAGTGGCTTAGTGGTTAAGAACACTTGATGCTCTTGCAGAGGATCAGAGTTCGATTCTCAACCCCCACGTAGCAGTTCACAACTGTAATTCCAATTCCAGGGGATCTGATGGAACCAGGCATGTGCGTGGTGCATATACACCTATGCGGGCAAAATAGCAAAACACATAAAACAATTAAGAAAGAAAGAAAAAAGGTTCATCTGTAGTGATAGGAGCGAATGTACTCTGTGGAGGTGAAAGAGGGAAGGAATCTCATTGCTCTGGCTTTTCAGTGAAGTAGGAAGCAAAGTCCTCAGCAAAGAGAATAGAAGAGGTGTTGGATGCTCGAGGGATAGATGCTGTTGTAAGGATATGGGAAACATTCAGTCTGTCCTGCTGTACTCTCACAATTGTGAGACTAGTCTATGACCCTGGACACACGGGGCTTTCCCCCATTAACAACCGCTTGTGCAAACGGTTCTCTAGCAGGTGCTACTTAAATGTCTTCCTTGTCAATTCAGTTCTGTCACCGACTACAGACCGCGGACTTGGTCCCATAGTGCTCCCCCTTCTGAAGAGGTTGTGGCCCACGGTGCTGCTTCTCCTTCACCCTCCTCGGGTTTGGTTAGTGTGCTAGAGCAGCTTGTAGAGTTCAGGGAAATACTTACATTTTCTGATTTGTAATAAAGGGTAGAAAGTATGCAGATCCATAGTCAATGGAAGGCTATGTGCAGGGCAAATTAGAGATGGGATGTGGAGCTTTCACGCTTTCTCCACGTGCACACCACCCTGTGTATGGTCATTAATATGAAACTCCTCTTTCTCAGGCCTGTACTTAGGTTTTTTTTTTTTTTGGTTTTTCGAGACAGGGTTTCTCTGTGTAGCTTTGCGCCTTTCCTGGAACTCGCTTTGGAGACCAGGCTGGCCTCGAACTCACAGAGATCCGCCTGGCTCTGCCTCCCGAGTGCTGGGATTAAAGGCGTGCGCCACCACCGCCCGGCCTTGTACTTAGGTTTTAATAGAGGTTTCATTGTGTGAGCATAACTGAGTATGATTATTGGCCACATGTCATCACCCTGCCTTCAGTCCCCACTGAAAATCCTACCTTCTCACAGGCCATGGTCATAGGTCCCAGTCGTTCTGGAGACCAGACCCCTTCCTGAAACTCTCTAGGGGTTCCTAACTACTGGTTATCCCATAAGCATATGATAGAGACTCCAAGAAGTTTAAGAGCTCACTGCTAGGAAATTGGTCAAAGACCACACACATATCCCATTTCACAACTTAGTATTGTCTGGGAGAGTGGTGAATAAAGGCATCAAGATGTGACCCTTGAGTTTCACTGAGTGGAACAGGCTGTTGCTTCAGAGTTTCCTTAGTGATACTTAACAGCCAGCTAAACCGCTTATGAATGTGCTGTAATTTATTTAGGCAGCTCTCTTCATAACTCTCACTTCTAAACTTTTAAATCCATAATTCAGTAGGTTACAGTCTTATAAATAGTATTGCTGATTAAAAGTATTTTGTTTTTCCAGAGGCAGAGGCAGGTGGCTCTCTGTGAATTTGAGACCACCCTTGTCTACAAAGAATTGCAGACCAGCCAGGGCTACATAGTGCCTGTCTCCAAAAAAGAACTAACGTAGAAACTGCCAAATTGCCCTGTAGAAGATCACTAGTGTATCCGCCTGTTAGCAGTGGTATCAGTTTTCCTCTGCCCTAGTTAGCTTAAGCATATACTATTAAATAGTGTGTGTGTGTGTGTGTGTGTGTGTGTGTGTGTGTTTGCTGAAGCAGTTTTATGCTGATTTTTTGCTTCGTTTGGCAACTCACAAGTTTATGTATCTCCATAATAGCCATTTTATGCTTTTGTTATTGTTTTTTATTTTTAATTTTATTTATTTAGTTTTTTGAGACAGGATTTCTCTTGTGTAGCTTTGGAGCCTTTCCTGGTTCTCACTCTGTAGACCAGGCTGGCCTCGAACTCACAGAGATCCACCTGGCTCTGCCTCCTGGTGCTGGTGTGTGCCGCTGCTGGCTTGTTTTGTTTTTTAAAAAGAAGAAAACTGATAGTGGCTGGATAATGACAAGGGTGCTGCCCACCTCTGTTCTTTTGGAGTCATCTGCCATGTAATCTGTTAATTGTCATACATGTCCTGATTTTTTTTTTTTTTTTTTTTTTTTTGGTTTTGTTGTTGTTTTTTGAGACAGGGTTTCTCTGTATCACGGCTCTGGCTGTCCTTGAACTCACTTTGTAGAACAGGCTGGCCTTAAACTCACAGAGTTCTGCCTGCCACATGTCCTGACTTTAAAAAAATATTTGTAGCTGGTCAGTGGTAGTGCATGCCTTTAATCCCAACACACAAGAGGCAGAGGCAGGTGAATCTCTGAGTTTGAGGCCAGCCTGATCTACAGAGTGAGTTGTTGTTTAAGGACAGCCAAGGCTACTCAGAGAAACCCTGCCCCAAATAACCAAAACAAAAAAAATTAATTATTAAATTGTGTGTGTACATATTTCTGTGTGTGGGTGTGCACACGTGAGTTCAGCTGTCTGGAGTTCAGAAGAGGGTCGTATCCTCTGGAGCTGCAGTTAGGTGTGGTTGTGATCTGCCTCACATGGGTGCTGGGCACCGAATTCAGACTAGAGTCCTGGAAGAGCAGTGCGTGCTGCTAGCCACTGCTCCATCTCCTGTCCTGTGCCCGTTTGTTTTATTTGCCTTCTCATTTTGTTTTTGGAGCAATTTAATGTATAGAGATGCTTGTCTTGTTCAGTGTTTGGATCTGTTTTCCATCTGCATACCTCAAAAGATTTTTCCTGCCCTAAGACGTTACCTACATTTTCTTCTCATTCTTTTTATTTATATATGTATTAGTTATTTATTTGGGGGGTAGTGCATATACTGTGGTGGAGGTTGGCCGACAACCTGTGGAAATTGGTTCTCTTCTTCCACCACATGGGTTCTGGGTATTGAACTTGGGTCATCAGGTTTGGCAGCAAGTGCTACTGAGCCATCTTGCCAACTCTTTTAGTTCTATTGGAAGCCTCATGTGTATGCCCTAACTATTATTTCCCAATTTGGCTTAAAGTGGGTATAGCTTAAATTTAGTAGAAATTCAATTGCTGTTTCTTTCACAGCTAAAATTTGTGGAGAAGATGGACAGGTGGATCCCAACTGTTTCGTTCTGGCACAGGCTGTAGTCTTTAGTGCAATGGAGCAAGAGTAAGTTCATATTCTCACATCAGCATTCCTGGGAATTCTGGCTCCTGGTTAGAAAATGGACTTCACTCCATTGAAAACAGTGTACTTTTGGAGATAAAGTCATTTGGGGTGATTGAGGCTACAGTATATGAATGACTGAGAACTTGTTAGTTTAGTAATGCATGTCTTCAGATGGACATCTGTTCAGTTTAGGCTCTATTACTAATAATAAGCTGCCTCCAGACTTTTTAAAGTTATTGCTGTATGCCTTTAAAAATCTATATATTCATTCTTTTACTGAGTATTTATTATGTGCTTTTTACAGAGCCACAAGTAGATACCGTGCCTGCCTTGAAGGAAGTTATAGCTCAATAAAGAAACAGTCCGTGTTCTCCTTGGTTACCATAATATGAGGTAGCATGTGTTAACTCTCAGGAGAAAGCCACAAACCCATTGAGAGATGGGGAGATGGCTTACAGCTGAAAGGAATCAGGAGCACCACCTTGGGAAATAAGGTAGCCTTGACCCAGGCTTTTAAGATTTTATAGGAATAAAGCCAGGCAGTGGTGGCGCATGCCTTTAATTCCAGCACGCTGGAGGCAGAGGCAGGCAGATCTCTATGAGTTCAAGGCCAGCCTGGGCTACAGAGCAAGTTCAGGACACCCAAGGCTACACAGAGAAACCCTGCCTTGAAAAAGAAAAAGATTTAATAGGAATAGTTTTGGAAAGAGTGTTTGTTTGTTTGTTTGTTTGTTTGTTTGTTTGTTTATTTGTTTTTCCAGTTACACTCTTTCGTTGGTCTTTCCCTCAAATATCCTCTTTTTGTCCATGTGCAGGCACTTTAGTGAGTTTCTGCGAAGTCACCATTTCTGTAAATACCAGATTGAAGTGCTCACCAGTGGGACTGTTTACCTGGCTGACATCCTCTTCTGTGAGTCAGCCCTCTTTTATTTCTCTGAGGTAAAGTCTGCATTTTCGTTTATATTCTGCTAGAGCATTCCAGCCCCATGCTGGGACTCTGTTTAAACAAAATGACATAGAAGAGATAAGTCATTTCCAAAGTGATCGTTTTAAGGTGTATTTTATGGCAAGAATACTTTAATGGCATATTCATCAGATTAAAGAGAAAACTCAGTGTAAAATAACCTTAATTTTAAAAGAGCACTTTAGTTATGCTATCAGAGAATAGATTATAAAAGTATTTTGAACTCTTTTAAGGCCATAGAATTGGAGGCTATGAACATAGCTCAGTTGGCCGTGTGCTTGCCTAGCATGCAGGAAGCTCTGGGTTTAGTTCCTAGCACCACGTGGAGCTTGGCATGGTGGTGCACACCTGTAACTCCAGCCCTCTAATTGGAAGCAGGAGGATAGAAATGTAAGGTTATCCATTCTTCGCTCCATAATGACTTCAAGGACACCCTGGGCTCCTTGAGCCCCTGCCTCAAAAATAAATAAATAGGAGCTGAAGAGATGCTCAGGAGAGAAAGTGCTTGCTGCATAAGCACGAGGCTCCGAGTTCAGATCCCGAGAGCCCATGAGAGAAGCTGGGCGTGGTGGCACAACTGTGTGCTCAGCACTGGGATGACTTGCTGGTCTACTGGGTTGGTGAGCTTTGGGCCTAAGTAAGAGACCTTGTCTCAGAATAAGGGAGAGTGCAGTAAAGGAACACGTCTGATGTCAGTCTCTCTCCTTCATATGCTCACACGTGAACACAGGTACCCGCACATAAACATGCATATACACACTAAATCAAAATGAAGTAATGCCATAGAATTGTCTGGTTCATTCCAGTGCAGTAAATACAGACCAGATTTCAGAAGAAGGAAAGAAAAGTTTTCCCATGTTCATCATTTTTATTTTTGCTACTTGATAGAATTTTTCAGTATAATATTTGAAGCAAACTGTAAATCTGTTAATCTCTTTGAGCTATATATGGTATTTTTCAATATTTATTCATCTTATCAAAGTCTTAAAAAGTTATTAGCATATGATCCTATATAATAATGAGCTTTATTGTGACATTATAGATGTGCATAATGTATTTTGATTATATTCACACAAATACCTTGTTATCTGCCCCTCCCCCCCTCCTGATTTCCTTCTTTTCCCGACTGCCCCCCTCTTCTGTTTGCTTCATGGTTTTGATTTTGTGGTTTTTGGAGGGTGAGTGTGTTTGTGTATGTATGTGTGTCCAAGTGAGTTTCATTAGGGTTGTTTACAGAAACATGGACACCTTACATTGACTTTACCACTGAAGAAAATGTCTCTCCATCCCCCATCTATCATTAGCTTCATGCAAATCTTTGGGGAGCTATGTAGCCCCGTGATCCCTTCCCCCTTCCACAACAAGGTTGTTGATGGGCCCAGTCTGCAGAGATCTTTGCAGGTAATCACAGCTGCTGTGAGTTAATAGGGGAACAGCTACATTGTGCCTGGAATTCAATGTTCCATATCACTTGTTCTCTTCCTCCAGCTCTTACGTTCTTTCTGACTCTTCTTCCATGACTTTCCCTGAGCCTTGGAGGGAATGATACAGATGTCCCATTTATAGTTGCATATGCAACAGTCATTCATGGGGTCTCTCATCACCACTGTCCACTGCAAAAAGAAGCTTTTCAACCTGATGTGGTACCACACGCCTTTAATCCCAGCACTGGGAAACAGAGGCAGGCAGAGCTCTATCCTGCATAGTGAGTTTCAGGCTAGCCAGAGCTACATAGTGAGAGACCCTCTCTCAAAAAAAAAAGGTCTCTCATCAAAACTAATAGCACTATTCTGTGTGTATGAACATGTTATTTAGAAGGCAGCTTGACAGGCACATCATATCCATTTAGCAAAGCAACACAGTATCTTCCCCACTAGGACTTACTATGGCCTCCTCAGCCTTGAACTTTTGATTGGGTTTAAACTGCCAAGTGTGGATTCCTTCAAATATAATCAGAAAACAAATTGGTTCACTCCATAACAGACTTGCCACTTTTGTACCAGTGGGCATATCTTGCCTGGCTGGTCAGGAGCGATAAACACAGAGTCTGTAGCCAAGTAAGATTGTAACAATTCTCCCCTAGTATACTGCATGGTGCCTTCCAACTAATAAGGGCTATTCAGCAGGGAAGAAGCTTCCATTCCATTTTCAGCTTGATTTCTCTTTATCATGTGACCAAAGTGATTTCTTCAGCAAATGGGGTCTTCCCATCTAGTTCTGGTGGGCAAAGAGCCGCAGTGGCAATTGCCTGTATTGTTCTGAGGACCTTGGGGGCCTCCATGCTCAATAGCATGTAGGAAGTAGCACTCTCTGGCATTTAAGTTTGGTTTAATAACCTGTGACTTTTACAGCAATATTATCCACTTAAAGCAGGTGAGGCATACAGCTTTATATAACTGATTTTTAGGCTTTAGCAAATGAAATTTTTTGTTGCAAGAAAAATGACTATTATAAAGATTCCTGTGGTAGGTTTGGGTTTAACCTCCAGGAGGCCATAGGTTCACAGTCTCAGGCATCACTTCGCAAAAGAACTCCCAGTTTCATAAAGCAGCAACCTATATGCTTGAATTGTGCCTTTTTGCAAGACTGCAGTAAACACACAGTTGACTTCCTTTTTATTTTTTCCCTTTTTGATCATGCTTGAGATCAGTATTTGCTCAGATTGTCTTCCTGAAGTGTCCATGTGTCCTCATGGAATGGTAGCCGTGATTAGGTATAAGAAAATTAGTTCAATTAATTCATTGTCATTACTGGTAAGGAAGTATTGAGTCCAAATTAGTCTGGTTTTTGTTTGTTTGTTTGTTTAAACTCCAGTGAACTGAAGTTTGCATCTCCTTGTATGTGGTGTGGGGTTTTGTTGATGTTAATTTTACTTCCCTCTCCCCTGAAAGAATATTTAAAATTTGTCTACTTCAAGTTTCTGTATGTTGCTAAAGGGTGTGGAGTGAAGAGGATCTTTTTTACTTTATTACTAACAACATAAATTACAGGTGGTGAGGGAACTGCTCCTTGTCTTACTCTTTTGTGTTTTTCTTCCTAGTACATGGAAAAAGAAGATGCAGTGAATATCTTACAATTCTGGTTAGCAGCGGATAATTTCCAGTCTCAGCTTGCTGCCAAAAAGGGCCAGTATGATGGACAGGAGGCACAGAACGATGCCATGATTTTATATGACAAGTGAGTTTGTTTGGTCAGTGTGTTCAGCAGGGGTTTTGAGCATTCGCTGTACACTGTGGTAATAATGTTGACGTAGGTCCATCTCCTGTCAGAGGAGTCTGCTGGACATTGCATAAAAACTGATTGGATGTGTCGGATGCAGAGCTCTCCAGTCAGAACAAAAGTCCCTGCTGAGAAAATCGAGGATTTCCATAGAGCAAGCAGGGTCAGAGTGGGGTGCTCAGAGGGGCTTCACAGATGGAAACTGGGTGGCTCTGGGTTTGATTAAGAAGTCTTACTTTGGGGCTTGACAGCTCAGCCACTAAGAGCACCACTTCTCTTCAAGAGGATTGGGGTTCCGTGCCCAGCACACACGGGGCAACTCACAAGCACCTGTTACTTCAGTTACAGGGGACCCAGTGCCATCTTTCTGGCCTCTTCAGGCACCAGGCTTGTACATGCTGCACAGACATACATGCAGGCAAGATACTCATACACATAAAATAGTATTAATAATAAAATCTATATAGAACATCATCTTAAGGAAAGAAAGAAACTCTGCTTCAAGGAAAGTAGATGAGTTATCAGTGAAGACTCTCAGCATCACCCTGTGGCCTCCACACACATATGCACACACACGCAAGCTCACTTTCACATGTACATGTGACCATGCATACATATGTATGTGAAAAGAGAAAAAGATAAATTGAATTTTGCTAGGCAACAAAAGCTTGAAAGCAAATTTCACACAAAAGCCTTGACACAATTATAAGAAGTGGAGAAGTGTGGCACTTTAGAAGAAACTGAGATAGAGTGTATAGAGCCCCGTGGACCAGCACCTGGGTTCCATCATCTCCAGCAGTAGAAAAAGGAAAGCGTTTGGATAATAAAAATGATATTTCTAGAACATAATAGGAAGTACACTAAACTAATTGGAGCAGATTAGAAAGGGTGTAGATGTATCATACGTTCTATCTACATTAATAATAAATACTAGTTTGTTTGTTTTTTTCAGTAGTTTGTGGGTTTGTCTTTAGTGGTGGGAATTGAACCCATTGCCTTGTACATGCTAAGCATGCCCTCTACTTCTAGACTACATCAGCCAATTTCTCACTAGTTTTCACCAAAGACAAGAAGTTGGGGCGGGGGCAAACATACTGTAAATAAACTAAAACCATCTGCTTGGGCAAGTAAGAACACTGGCCAGCCCCATCACCATGTGGCCTTTACGTTTACCTTTTCTCTCTTGTGAGGAAGTTTGTTGTTTGTATCCATAGACAAATGTAAAGAGGTGACTTGGGACTAAAGAACCTCACAGGCCTGGGGGCTGGAGCAACGACTCAGCAACTAAGAGCACTGGCTGCTCTTCGGAGGACTCAGTTTCTATTCCCAGCACCCCTCAGGCAGCTCATAACTGTATGTAACTCCATCTCTAGGGGATTTGACACCCTATTCTGGCTCCGTGGGTACCTGTACACATTTTGCACATTCACACATAAAAAGAATTAAATACAAAAGCAAGAATTCTGTGATGTTAGAGTGAAAGGGCCAGGCATATCTAGACCAGTGGGTGCTAAACATGGGACTACAGGTTTATGTCAAGCTGTCTGTATAATATTCATCTAGGAGGGGCTGGCAAGATGTCTCAATGGTTAAGAGCACTGGCTGCACTTCCAGAGGACTGGAGTTCAATTCCCAGCACCCATGTTTCAGTTCACAACCATCTATAACTCCAGTTCCCTGGAATCCAAGGGCAACAGGCACCTATGTGGTGCACAGACACACTTGTAGACAAAACACTCAAACACATAAAATGAAGTCAGTCTTTAAAAAAAAAAAGATTCATCTAGGAGCTTGTTAAAAATTCACTTCCAGGGGCTGGAGAGATTGCTCAGAGGTTGAGAGTACTCACGGCTCTTCAGAGGACCCAGATTCAGTTCCCAGCACCCACACAGTGTTTCACAACTGTCTGTGACTCCAGTTCCAGGGGATCTGACACCCTCATACAGATATACATACAGGCAAAACCCCAATGCACATTAAATAAATCTTTTTTTAAAAATTCACTTTCAGTCCTGCGTATTAGATTCTCATTCAGCAGGTTTGAGGGGGAACCTCAGAAATGCTCACTCCTTTGAAAACATTTGATAATTCTGATGGATAATCAGGTTGGGCATCTGGTCTGATTTTTCTGTTTTGAAGGTAAGGAACTAAGTCCCATGAAGGAAATTGTTTCTCAAAATTGTAGAGCAGGGTAGCGGCAGAACTTTAACGGAGATCTAATTCTTCCTGTTCAGCCCAGTACTCCCTGCTGTGTTGGGCCAGTGGAAGGTATTGGGGAAGGACAGTGATGGCTGTTGAATGGGAAGAATGGACATTTGAAGTTAGGTCCGGGTGCCTGGAAGTCGAACTCATGGAAGAGTACTTGTCATTGCTTACAGAGTAGGAGAAGTGGTTCTGGCTATGGAAATGCTGACGAAGAGAGAATAGTTTGTGACCGCTGGAGCAGAGCAGTGGCCAGGGCCCCACTCGGTCCTGACTGGAGCTCAGCAACTGCCCAGAGCAGATGGAGTGTTTCCACTGAGTCCCGTTTTTGCTTTGGGAGTCATTCTCTGAAGAGGGACGTCCTATGGGTGCTGCTGTTTTGTTCGTTGGCTGTCAGGTTGGACTTCATAGTTTCCTTCTTGTTCATTCCTCTATTTCCTATATACGTCATCACCCCTTCTGTGTTTCTGTCGTAGATGGACAGACGCTACGAGAGTATTTGAAAGTTTTCTTTACCCCTGCTTGTATTTTTTTTGTGTCCATAGTCCAAGTACCAAATATCAGTTGACTATATCTCGTTACATTCAAACACTTTTGGGTTCTCATTAACTACTGTTTCCTTTCCTCTCTAAAGTATCAGCAAGTCCTTTGAGTTAACTCCAGTTAATCCATCTGCTTCATCTTATTACTGTTCATTTTGGATTCCCACGATTATTACTATGCTTTGTAGGTATGGTGATATGCCCTCACTTTATCTTGTGCACAAATCTTTTTTCAAGGAAAATGATAGTCTTAGGAATATTTCTTAAAAACTCCTTGTTAAGTCCTAAACAGAAAACAAGTGCCCATGAAGTGTGTGCAGCTGGTTGATTTCTTTGCCTCTGCATAACCTGACTCAAACTCAAATAGCAGAGCTGGCTGGGCAGGAACTAAAGGTGTGTTTGGAAGACATGTGGGAAGGAGCAGATTTCCTGTAGGAAGTGAGAATAATAAAAGCCTATACACAGTGGCACTTTCCTTACCTGGTTCTATAGTTGAAAGTCTGGAACAGAGTCATGTAGCCTCAGATAAAAATGTCTAAGTGTGGACAGCTGCTTCCGCTTGTGTATCATTTGGTTTTACTTGGAATCTCTTTCTGCCATAGGTACTTTTCCCTCCAAGCCACACACCCCCTTGGATTTGATGATGTTGTACGATTAGAAATTGAATCCAATATCTGCAGGGAAGGTGGGCCACTTCCTAACTGTTTCACAACTCCATTACGTCAGGCCTGGACAACCATGGAGAAGGTAACTAACATCTTCAGATATTAAACTATAACAAGTTTTACTTATATAATACAATGTATAACACAGCAGTGGGAAACTGAAGTGGTATAGCATAGTGATTAAGAGCAGAGGTTTTGAATCTTGACTTGATGTGTATTAACCTCATTTTTATAGGCTAAGTGGCCCAGGCAGTTATTGAACTTCTCTGTTGATCATTGCATTGAAACACTTAATTTTATGTATTTTGATCACTTTTGAGATATCACTAACAGCTTAATCATAGTGTCAATGTTTGTAAATAACTTATTCTAATGAATTAGAGCATATTTGCCAGGAGTTGTACTGAGTCCAGGGCAAACTCATAAGTTTATGTCACTGAAATGTTTCATGCTTATCCAGGTGGAAAGTGATTGATTAAGCACTATTATAAAATGCCATACACACACACACACACACACAAAAACAAAAACAAAAACAAAAAAAAACAAACCCACCAACACTGGACTTAGACTCTAGAGAGGTAGCTCAGTCAAACTTGAGTTAGGATCCCAGGTAATTTCTTAAAAAGCCACGTGTGGAGAGGTGGCATCTGTCATCCTAGCACTGAGGACCTAGAAACAGGAGGATCCAGCCAATTGGTGAGCCCAAGTTCAGTGAGAGACCCTGTTGTAAAAGATAAGGTTGAGAAGTGATTGAGGAAGTCACCTAAATTAGTCTCTGGTTTTCATTTGCATGCACATTCACGTACACACACAAAAAGACTCAATTTAAAAGAATTAGTATAAAAGGCAAGTTATAGCAAAGCTAGAGATAATGTAATAACATATTAATAACAACATAAGATAGTAACTTTTTCATGATTAAAATGAAAAATTTTCTGATTGAAAGGAAAGTCCAAGTTTAGGGGGAATATAAAAAAATAAAAACTTAATGAGAAATAAAATACGGAGAGATAAGATGTAGTTGGGTGTGGTGGCACACAGCCTGCCCTCTCAGATGGGTGAGAAGATTAAATGGTCAAAGCTGGGAGATAGGGGCTGGCTTGGTTGGTAAAGTGCTTGCCTTACAAGCACGAGGACTTGAATTTGGTACCTGGAACTCAAATAGAAAAGCTGAGTAGAGTGGCACACATCTGTACTATCCCTGTACTCAGCAGGCAGAGACAGGAGGTCCCTGTGGCTCACTGGCCGGCCAGTGTAGAGTAATGGTGATCTCCATACCAGCAAGTACCCTGTCTTAAAGGAGTAAACCAAGTTCCTGAGGATGACACACACATAAACTGACATAGGACAGAAAAGAGAAGGGCTGCCAGGATTTTCAGAGATCGGTTCCTAGAACACATGGTGGAAACAGAACCGACACCTGAAAGTTGTCCTCTTACCTCTACATGTATGACATAGACCATGGACACCTACTTGCATGTAACACACGTGTATGCATATGTGCAACAATAAATAAAATTAAATTGAAGAAAAGAGAAAATTCAAGGCCATCTTGGGCACTGAAGGAAATCCTGTCTCAAAAAGTAAAAATGGACTATGTCTGTAACTCAGTGATAGGGCGCTTGACTGTCATGTGGAAGATCTTGGGTTCTATCCTCAGTACTTTTGGGGGAAGGAGGACAAAATAGTTCTTAATAAATGTTCACTGGTAAGGAATTTGTACTAGGGTTTTTTGGTTTGGTTTGTCCAGAGGGATGGGGGAGTTGGAGACTCTCCAAGACAGAGTTTGATCATGTGGCCCAGGCTAGCTGTAAACTCATGATCGTCCTACCTCCACCTTCCAAGTACTGGTTCTAGACGTGAGCCACCATGCCCCCACTACCCTGCAGTATATTAACAGTAGCAGGCCCTAGCAGGTAGATGAAGAAAGGATAGGAAGACATGAGTGATGCATGCAGCAAATACTTTTGAATATTTCTGTACTGGTTATTGGTGTTACAGTGGTAAACAGTGGGGCTTTTGACCTTTGAGACTTAGGTCTGTAAGAAAACATTTTAATTACAGACAGACATATCCACAGTTGTGCTAAGTGCTGTGAAGGAAGTCTGTAATGGAAAATGAAAATGATAAACATGAGTACTTATTCAGTATATTCAGCACCATTAATAATTCTTAAATGACCATAAAAGCATGCTCCAATTGGTATTTATTCTACAAGTGCCATTAGTTATTGGAAACAGATGAAAAACCAGCATTGGGAAGCTTGTGTAGTAGGTATAGATAATCTGATGTATTGTCCGTGATATAAATTGATAACATCCCTTTGATAAGATACATTTGCCATATGTTTGAAGGTTAGAGTTCACTTTAGCAGTCATATTTCTTGTAAATTTTTTTAGTTTTAGTTTTCATGTCTATGTATAGGTTTGTATATACCCCTGGGTGAAACTGCCCATGGAGGCCAGAGGTGTTCTATCCACTTGGAGCTTGAGTTACTGATATGGGTTCTGGGAACAAAACTTGGTCCTCTTCAAGATCAATTCAAACTGTTAACCACTGAGCCATCTCTGCAGCCTCCATTCCTTATCATTTATCTCAGAGAAGTCAGTTCAGAATTAAAATCACTGTGGTGAAGATTCGGACTGTTTTCTTCCCACTGTGTAATGTCCATGGAAGGTGTGGGTGGGACAAGGACCCTTGTAGTGGCAGTGGAAACTGGGTAGTAGTGTAAGAGGGAGAAGTGCAAGTGCTGCTGTGAGTGATAGGCTTGTACGTAAAGCTATTTAAAATTAAGTACTAGATGTGTTTGCTTGTTTTTAAAATGCTGTTCCTCTTTCAGGTCTTTTTGCCTGGTTTTCTGTCCAGCAATCTTTATTACAAATATTTGAATGACCTCATCCATTCAGTTCGAGGAGATGAGTTTCTTGGAGGGAATGTTTCACTGGCTACTCACAGCTCTGTCTGTCTTCCTGAGGAATCTCACTCAGGTGGTTCAGATGGCTCCAGTGCTCAGGTATTAGCTAATTTCAATCTATCAGTGGGAAGGAATGCATACCGAGCCTTTCCTTCAAATGTCAGCAGCAGATCCTATTTATATGTTTTAAGTAGTACAAGAAAATAGAATCAACTTACTTATAAATTCTAATCAGACTACCAGTTGTGATTCGGTTTATGCTATATTGTACCATGCTCTTTCGTTAAAGCTTTCATCTGCTTGACAACCATGCTTTTTGTTTTAGTAACCAGATATGCTTGCATTCATGCACAAGAGTGTGCCTGCTGTATGTGCAGAGGCCAGAGGTCAGCCTTGGAAGTTATTCCTCAGACATTATTCACCTTGGTTTTGGGGATAGCATCTCTTACTGGCTCAGGACTTGATATTAGATTTGGCTGGCTGGCCAGCAAAGCCCAGGAATCTGCCAGTCTCCACCTTCCCAGATGCCATGACCTGCATGGCTTTCAGATTGACCTGACTATGTTTCAGTGACAGTAACATATATAGAAAAGCTGGGATCGGGTGAGCTGTGCACTCTGATGGAGATGCATTAGCAGCCCAGAAATTCAGTGTATTTATTATATACAGCTGAATCTCAGTAGGGGGCCTTGGGAGGGGTGCAGTCATCCAGGAAGAAGCAGCTATGGTTAATATTTTCTGCAACACCTGTCAACATCTGTACTTAGATCAAGGGAAGGCCTTGCCATTCCAAGGTTCTGTGGCACTGGGGTCTTTGACATGTTATGCTCATGTCCACCATAGACATTCACTCAGGGTATTCACTCAGGACTGCATCTGTTCCTCACACCCAGGGGCTAGGATTATAAGCATTTCACCATGCCCAGACTCCATGTGGGTCCTAGTGGTGGATCTTAGGTTTTCAGGCTTGTATGGCGAGCACTTTACTATCTCCTCAGCCCAGTAAAAAGTATTTTATAACTCTGAAGAGCTCTTTTTACAACTATTTGAGAAATTTTAATAACTGAATTTAGGATACTTTTTATTACTAGTGAACTCAGATTGTTTTAATTTGTTTAAAACAGTGTATGTATGATGTGTTTGAGTGCAGGCACACATGTCACAGTTAGTGTGGGAACCAGAGGATAGCCTGCAGCGGTCAGTCCCCCCACCCCCCCACCCCGACTTCCACGTAGAGAACGTGAGGCCTCCTCCCTCAGGCTCGCCTTCCTTGTTTATTTGTTCTGTTTTGTTTATTTGTTTTGCTTGCTTTTTGAGCTGTTTATTTTTTAAATGTTAGATAGCATACCTTACCTGATTCTCCCTAAAATCATAGGAAGTGGGATGTTCCCAAGACAGCAAATCAAAAGGAGGCTTTAAGACGTTAACTGAGGGCAAGGAGATAAGTTCAGTCAGAAGAAGTACTTGTCATGCAATCTGAGTTCAATTCACAAACCCACATAAAGGTGGAAGGAAGAACATACTCCACTGAGTTCTCCTCTGGCCTCTATGTGCACACTGTGGCACATGTTGCCCACTCCCACATCATGCAAACATGAGCATGAACAATCATTTTTTAAATTAACTGATTTTTAAAATTTATGTACCCTGTTGAAATTTCACCTGTATATATTGATCAAAGTCCTACCCAACTGCATCAAAGAGAAGAGAGTGAATGCTTAAGCTTACCTTACTTTCTCCTTTTGATTTTTGTCCTGACCCCGTTCCCCTGGAATGGTGCCACCCGGATCCGGGTGGGTAACCCCTTACAGGGGTGCTAGTCTACAGCTATTATCCTCCCATTCCCTACCACCTTGTAAAGTTGTGTCTTTCAGATTTTTATTTATTTTTGAGACTAGAAGTGAGAAGAACAGGTATAGTTACCTCTTTCCTGACCCCAGAAAAGCTTTAAGCTTTCTCCCCTTTACTGTGCTGTTCAATCAGATCTGTAGGGTTTAGGTTTGTTAATTTTATTTTTAATAGATGTTCTCTATAAGATTAAAGAAATTGATTGCTAAATGTGATTTGTATTTTTTTAATTGCAGGTGAATATGTTAGATATTTTAACACATTTTTTTTTTTTGTACTAAGATGACTATATAAGTTTGGAAGTTTGATTCTGTTGATATAGTGTATAAAGTTTCTCATGGTTTTCAGATGCCTTGTGTTCCTAGGACAAATCCTACTTGATCTTATGGCTGAATTTCTTGTTATTGAGAATTTTAGATCCATAACTCATGGAATACTGCCTACACTCTAGATAAATGTTTGTCTGGTGATGTCTGGTCTTACAGTTAAGAGTATGTGAGTTGCTTGTCTCACTCATTGCTGAACTGTACCAGACAAAAGTACCTTCAGGAAGGAACGGCTCTCAGTTCCTGAGTACTTCTGTCAGCTTGATGCAGTTGGGTACTTGCATCCACAGTCAGGAAGAAGAGAGTGAATGCTTAAGCTTACCTTACTTTCTCCTTTTGATTTTTGTCCTGACCCCGTTCCCCTGGAATGGTGCCACCCGGATCCGGGTGGGTAACCCCTTACAGGGGTGCTAGAAGATATGCACAGACCAGATCAGGGTGGGTAACCCCTCGCAGGGGTGCTAGAAGATATGCACAGACCGGATCAGGGTGGATAGCCCCTCACAGGGGTGCTAGAAGCTTTTGGTTTGCTTGTTTGTTTGTTTTGTTTTCAAGTGATTCTAGATCCTGTTGACAGTACTAACCATCACACTGAGTAACAGTGCCTCATAGATGTTAGTCCATCGAACATATCCCAGTGTCCCTTTCTTAGTTAATTATGTATTTGGAGGCTTTCTTTCTCAGTATATTGCCTATTCGGTTATTTTATTTAATCTGCCTCTTAGTTACAGGTTAAGCTTGTTCTTCCCAGTTGGCATTTTTTTATTTTTTTTTTTTTATTTTTTTGGTTTTTCGAGACAGGGTTTCTCTGTGTAGCTTTGCGCCTTTCCTGGATCTCGCGCTGTAGACCAGGCTGGCCTCGAACTCACAGAGATCCGCCTGCCTCTGCCTCCCGAGTGCTGGGATTAAAGGCGTGCGCCACCACCGCCCGGCCCAGTTGGCATTTTAAATAATGCTTCAGTGACTGATGTTAACTATTAAGTTATTTTGCATACATGTGAGCCTCTCCATAACAGCATTTTGTTTTGTTTGAGACAAGGTTTCTCTGTATTAACAGCCCTGACTGTCCTGGAACTCACTCTGTAGACCAGGCTGGCCTTAAAATCACAGAGATCCGCCTGTCTCTGCCTCCTGGGTGCTGGGATTAAAGGCATATGCCACCACCACCCAGCCATAATAGCATTTTTAAGATTTGGATTTCTGAGTCAGCTGAATAGCTCTATGTTTCAGAAAAATGCCGGTTCTGACCTGCTTAGCCTTTTGTTTGAATTAGAATGCTGGAGGGACCTGACTGTACTCGGTCACTGTAGGTGGGGCTCTTTACCTTCTCTTTTCACACAGCCTCACTGAAAATTGAAGACATTCATCTACCCTTTAAGAGTTAGGCGTTATATTTATTAGGCTGAGTCTTCCATATTAGAACAATACTGTCTGAGGATAGCGCAGCATAGGTCGTTAGAAAGACGACGGGTTTGGTGTGCAGATGCATGCTGTGTGCTTGGTCTTGTGCCTTCCTCCTTTCATTGTAGCTGTAGACTGTGTCTCAGAATCGTTGCCAGTACACTCCTCAGTGAAGGAGGTGGTGACAAAACAAACAGCTCTATCCTGGTCTCGCATCTCCCAGACTCAGGACTGTTTTGTTTGTTTGTTTGTTTGTTTTTTAAAATAATTTACTACTAATTTTATAATTTCTGTTGTAGTCTAGTATGAAAAAAGCCAGTATTAAAATTCTGAAAAATTTTGATGAAGCAATAATTGTGGATGCTGCAAGTCTGGATCCAGAATCTTTATATCAACGGACATACGCAGGGTAAGTTTAATTCGTGTAGAATTTAGCATCTTTTGAAAATTAAAAAAAAAATTCAAATACCCAGCATTTTCATATATCATGTAATATAGTGATTATAAGGAAGCCAAGCATTGTGGCCCACCTTTAATCCCAGCATTCAAGAGACAGATGAATCTTTGTGAATTCGAGGCCAACTTGGTCTCCATAGTGAATTCCAGGCCAGCAAGTCTGAACACCTGAGTTCATTCAGTTCCTGGAACCATGGTGGAAGGAGAGAATCAACTCTCCAAAGTTTCCTCTGACCTCTACATGCATGCTGAGGCATGTGTTTAGCTGCATTCACATACATGTTGGTTACATGCATAACAACAAATTATAAAACATTTTAAAGGAAGGCTCTGGGGGTTTTCTTGAGTTTTCAGTTCTGTCTACTTCTTGGCATGCTATGCTACTTAATCTATTAGTCTCATTTAATACTGCAGCTCCCTAAGGGCATAAAGTAATAGATGAAAAGCACTGAAAATAGTCTAATGTCTAGGCAGCACTTGGTACACATCATTCCCATCATCTCTTCATTACGATGTACCTGATGGATGATACCATAGTTACATACTGTGTTTTAGGCTGATGGATGATACCATAGTTACATACTGTGTTTTAGGCTGTCTGCTCTACACAATCCATTGGGTTCACGTTTTACCTGTTTTGTTTATTTACTTAATTATTTTGAGACATTGTCTCACTATGTAGTCTTGACTGGCTTGAGATTCAGTACATATACCAGGCTGACAGAGATCTGCCTGCCTCAGTTTCCCAAATTCTGGGATTAGAAGTATGTGCCACATGTCTGGCCATTGTAGCTATTTTAAAGTCTGGATCTTAGAAACAACAATACACATAAAGTAAAAAAGATGGTGACATTACTTGTGTGTTACATAGCTATTTCTTAGGAAACTGAGTTTGTATTTGAGAATAAACTTAGTGGTTTTTTGAGCCTAGAATGGAAAGACAATAGGATATTTTACTTACTGAAATTTACTAGACACACAGAAAGTAACTTCTTTCTTAATTGTGGTTTGATGACTACATAAACCTAGGTAGATCAACCCTACTCTGTGTGTGTGTGTGTGTTTACCCTACCCTAAGTGTGGTTTGATGAACACGTAAACTTGTATAGATTTGATTATTTACCCTGTGCTGTACTCGATCTTAACAGTTTAACAGCGGCATTTGGATGGCTGAGAAGTCTAGAAAAAACTGAGGAAAACAAAAAGTTTAATCACATTGTCTTTGAAAGTGCACATTGACTGTGTTAGCTTGTAGTAATTTTTTTTTTAAATTGTGTGTGTGTGTGTGTGTGTGTATGTGTGTGATTATGTGAAATGTCTATGTGGACACACATGTCGTGTGCAGATGTGGAGGCCAGAGGACCCACTTTGTTGAGTGGTTCTCTGTTTTCATGGTTCTCTGGGCCTGAACTCCAGTTTCCAGGCTTTCTACTGAAAGCACCCTTACCCACTGTGCTGTCCTGCCTGCCTAGCTTTTGAGTAATGTTTAATGATCATAGTGATCTTTTAAAAATGGTAGACAGAGTGTAAGGATGTGGACCTGAGTTTGACCTCCAGTCACCAAATAAAAAGCCAGGCATGGGCTTGTGTTTCCAGACTGGAGAGGCCAGGCATGGGCTTGTGTTTTCAAACTGGAGAGACCAGGCATGGGCTTGTGTTTCCAGACTGGAGAGACCAGGCATGGGCTTGTGTTTAGACTGGAGAGGCCAGGCATGGGCTTGTGTTTCCAGACTGGAGAGGCCAGGCATGGGCTTGTGTTTAGACTGGAGAGGCCAGGCATGGGCTTGTGTTTCCAGACTGGAGAGGCCAGGCATGGGCTTGTGTTTAGACTGGAGAGGCCAGGCATGGGCTTGTGTTTCCAGACTGGAGAGACCAGGCATGGGCTTGTGTTTCCAGATTGGAGAGACCAGGCATGGGCTTGTGTTTCCAGACTGGAGAGGCCAGGCATGGGCTTGTGTTTTCAAACTGGAGAGACCAGGCTTGGGCTTGTGTTTCCAGACTGGAGAGGCCAGGCATGGGCTTGTGTTTCCAGACTGGAGAGACCAGGCATGGGCTTGTGTTTAGACTGGAGAGGCCAGGCATGGGCTTGTGTTTCCAGACTGGAGAGACCAGGCATGGGCTTGTGTTTCCAGACTGGAGAGGCCAGGCTTGGGCTTGTGTTTCCAGACTGGAGAGGCAGAAGGATCCCTGGGGCTCATTGGTCGTCCGTCCGAATTAAATCAACAAGCTCCAGGTTCAGTTCAGTTTTGAGGCCGAGCTCAAAAAATAAGATGGACAGAGCCGGTAAGATGGCTCATTAGGCAAAGGCACTTGCTGCCAATTCCGACCACCTGAATTTAATCCCTGAGACCCACATGGTGGAAGAGAACTAGCTCCCGTGAGTTGTCCTTTGACCTCCACACAGGTGCTACAGTGTATGAGCTTCTCCTGCCACTACATAAATAAACGCATCGATTATATGTTTAAAACAATAGTAAGTACAGTGAAGAATAACTGAAGAACGTGCCTGAAATCAACCTCTGGCCTACACACACACACATGCACACACACTCATGCAAACACATACACACACGAACAAGTATACACACATACATTTTAAAAAAAGAAAAAGAAAATGGTGGACAAAGTCCAAATAAGTTCTTTCTTGAAGATGAAATGTACTCTTATGGAATTGTTCATTTACTTAGAGCCTCACATAAGAAAGTCAGTTGGTGGTGACATATGCCTTTAATTCCAGCACTCGGGAGGCAGAGGCAGGAGGATCTCTGTGAGTTCAAGGCCAGCCTGGTCTACAGCGTGAGTTCTAGGACAGGCTCCAAAGCTACACAAAGAAACCCTGTCTCAAAAAACAAAACAAAACAAAACAGCAAGTTAGTTGGTAGTCAAGCATGATGGCTCACACCTTTTGTTACAGCATCAAATCTCTCGAGCAAGTTTCAGGACAGCCAGGGCTACATAGAGACCCTGTCTCAAAAACAAAACAAAAAAGACCAACAAAACAAAACAACCCCACCAGTCTGTCAGTTACAAAATGTTTCATTTAGTTCTTTATGTATAAAAAATTTTAAAATAATGTATATAAAATGTTTTTCTCACTTTCATCTTTTAAAGGTTTCATTGTTTGTTTTAGTTTTATTCTTTTAGCACCTAGGAAGTTTTTCCCAAGGCAAATACATGTGTGTATGTTGGTATTCTGACATAAATACATGCCATATAAGATGAGAATTCCTAGAATGTCTCTAAAATAAGACCCTTTTCCAAAGTAAAATAATACATAGATACCAGCTTCTCTTGTTTTAGCTTCTCTTCTTTTAACTTGTAATTACAAATAGATAGTTTTGTTGTTTTTTAATAAAAAAAAATAAGCTTGGGCTAGAGAGATGGGTTGGCCGTTAAGAGCACTGACTGCTCTTCCAGAGGACCCAGGTTCAATTCCCAGCACGCACATGGAAGCTCACAACTGTCTGTAACTCCAAGTTCTGACACTTTGACACAGACATACATGCAGGCAAAACACCAAAGCAAACAAAATAAAAGAAAGAGCTTGTTGCAATAAGTGCGCATAAGCTTATTTTCCCCTTTAATTACTCACAAATGATTATCTTCTTCCCTTCCTGCTCACATAATCACTGTTACACTGTGTTGGTATTACACTCTGTTCTGTGTTTGGTGATTTCATTCATGAGTTTAGGAGAGGGTTTTGGTTGGTTGTCTTAGTTTTGTTCTGTCTTCAGTACTGAGGATTGAGTCCAGGCCTCATCTGTGCTAGCACATACTGTACTACAGAACTACAGTTTCATCCTTGAGTTGTCATGTATTCTGATCATGTAAACCAAATCAGACTTTTTTGTTTCTTCTTTCGCAAAATTGTCTTGGCTAGTCTTATGTCTATTCTCTGTATTGTATGAAATTCAGAACTTGCCGGGTGGTGGTGGTAATGGTGGCGGCACAGGTGGCACATGCCTTTAATCCCAGCACTCGGGAGGCAGAGGTAGGCAGATCTCTGTGAGTTCGAGGCCAGCCTGGTCTACACAGAGAAACCCTGTCTTGAAAAACTTAAAAAAAAAAGAAAAGAAAGAAATTCAGAACTTGAATTACCTACTGTTACATTTCATAAACCTTTTTTGGGGTTTTAAAAGGAATTCCATTGAATTAGAGATTGTCTCCATGAAAAGAGGTTCTGTTTCAAATAAACCTTCCTTTGAATAACTTGAATTGCTATGAATTGTGTTTCTAGCTTTTGAGCTATAGATGAGCTACTTAAACTTGATTTTGAATTTTAGAAATTATATTCTTCTTTTCATCATGTTTAGGAAGATGTCCTTTGGAAGAGTCAGTGACTTGGGGCAGTTCATCCGAGAATCTGAGCCTGAACCTGATGTAAAGAAATCAAAAGGTTGTATGTAGTATTTTTTTATTCTTTATATTAAGCTTTTGCTCACATTAGATACTAACTGTAAGTGAAGGATATTTAAGGTTTACAGTGGTTGCGACTTCTAAGTGTTTTACTCTTTGTTTATAGATACACCTGAGTGTAGATGTAACAGTCTTTTTTAAATAAGAAACACAGAGCCAAATGCAGAATTAAAAGCCCAAGAGGTCAGAGCAATAGCTAAGAGCTAAAAACCCTTTCTTACCCCTCACTGTCGCTACTGTCCTTCCCCTCAGCAAGAGACCTACTTCCTGTGTATCTGTCTTTTTATTGACTTTCTGTTCTGCCTTCTCATTGGTTGTAAACCCAACCACATGACCCCCTCGTCACTGCCTGTCTATACAGACCTCCAGGTCTTCTATGGTTGGTATTGAGATTAAAGGCGTGTGTCTCCATGCTGGCTGTATCCTTGAACACACAGAGATCTGCATAGCTCTCCCTCCCAAGTGCTGGGATTAAAAGCTTGCGCCTCCATCGCCCGGCTTCCACTGCCCGGCTTCTGCTATGGCTTGCTATTAGCTCTGACCCCCAGGCAACTTTATTTATTAACATACAAATAAAATCACATTTCAGTACAAATAAAATATCACCATACCTGAGTGTGAGGACATTGTGTACCATACCTCTACACAATCTCTTCCTTTGAATAAAAGGTTATTGAACTTGACTTTGCCACTACAGAAGGCACAGCAGTGGGGATGTATTTTTTCCTTTTGATTTAAAGGTATACATTCAGTCTAGGTTGGCATGTGGCTTATCTTGTGATTCTTTGGTTTATTAAAGTTCCTCTATTACTGGAAATCGTTATGAAATATGTATGGAAAATAATAAGTTGAAATCCAGATCCTTTGTCTAACAGTCAGTGGAAGAGTGGCTTGGTCAAGTCTTAAGATTTAAAGTTTTTTTTTCTTTTTTCATTTTGGGTGTTTGTGGTATATATTCATATATTCACTCACCCACACAGGCATGGCTTGAGGCCAGAGATTGATGTGGGAATGTTTTCCTTAATCATTTCTTCACCTTGTATTTTTCTTTTTTGTTTTGTTTTTTTTGAGACAGGGTTTCTCTGTGTAGCTTTGGAGCCTTTCCTGGAACTCAACTCTGTAGCCCAGGCTGGCCTCGAACTCACAGAGATCTGCTTGCCTCTGCCTTCTGAGTGCTGGGATTAAAGGTGTATGTCACTGCCCGGCTATATTTTTGAAACGGGGTCTCTAACAAAACCTGAAATTTGCCTTTCAGCTAGACTGACTGACCAATCAAGCCCTACCCCCAGCCTGTCCCCACCAGCTCGTACCCCAGCAGTGAGGTTGCAGATGTACAGTTACACCCAACTTTCTATGTGGGTTCTGGAGATCTGAACATAGCAAGCACTCTGCCCACTGAGCCCTCTCCTTAGCCCCTCAAGTTTGTCTGTCTCCCCACCTTTTTTTTTTTTTTTTTTTTTTTGAGACAGTCTCACTGTATATTCTTAACTGGCCTGGATTCACAGACATCTGTCATCTTCTGTCTCCTGAGTTCTGAGATTAAAGGCATACATGCACATCATGCACATCTAACTGTTCCTTTCAAGTCTTTTTTTTTTTTTAAATGCATTCTTTGTGACTGATTTCAGTTCCAAATAGTTGGTTCACACAAGAAAATTTTGGAAACAAATGTGGATCCATTCAGATGACATCTAGAACTTGTCAGTGTGGCTGGATCAACTGTACTGCATTGAGTAAATGATATCAACTTTGTAAAAGAAAGTGCCCTGCTTGATTAGGTTTAAAATAGAAGCTGTTGTTAGTCTTCCTTTTGGGTTAATAGCACTGGCTTCTTTGTGCTTTATCTATATTTAAACACACACACACTATATATATATATTTTTTTTCTTAATGTACGTTATGGGTGTAATGTTTAGATCCTCCACCACCTCTCTACCATAGGAGTGCTAACACTGCATCCACACACTACCATACCTGACTTTCTCCTGGGTGCTGGTAATTGAACTCAGGTTCTCACACTTGCACAAGTGCTTTACTTGCTGAGCCTTAATGCAGTTATATTTTGATAGAGAATTTCACCCCTCTTTTGATAAATGATCTACCCTTAAGTCAGACATTTTTAAAGAAAAAAAAAGCAAAAGTTATTGAAGTAATATAGAACAGTCTGCTTTCTAGTTGACCTTATTTACCCATTTCATGGGTTTATTTCCTGTCTCATCAGACATGTCTAAGGTGTTTGGCTGAAAAGAGCATAGAGAGTAAAAAAAAAATGTAACACTTTTTCAGTGCTGGGGATTACACCCAGTTCCTGGTACATGCCAAGCAGTGTTCTGCTACTAAGCTCTGCCCAGTAAATGACCTTTGAGTTCTCTGTTTCTGTTCATCCTAATTATTCAATCTCTTCATGCCATTCATTCTAAAATGTAGTAAGTGTCTACTGTGCATATGACACTCTCAGTGCTTACGAAAAAACAGGTACTGTTGTCTCTGTGTGACTCATGACAGTGAGGAGACAGTAAATAGATAAACACAGCTTATGCATAAGTTCAGTACTTAGCCATAAGTACTAATAGTATAAATTAAATGCAGGATAAGGGATTGTCAGAAAAGTGGGAAGTAGTATTTGAAAAGTAATCTTCAGAAAGTTTAGCTTAGGCTTAGGAAGAGAGGGGTGTCGGTCCAGTGGTGTCTAAGCTGAAGGAAGGAGGAGGAGGACTGAATTGGAGCACACCACGTGATCAAAGGACAAGACCAGTGTGTTCGGAGTAGAGGGAGCAGAAAAAAGAATGGTAGGTGGTGGTAAGGACCACTGCAAAGATTAGAGAGACTGATGGAGAGTCATGGCAGGTTGGGTTAGAGAAGTGATGTGACATGACGTATTGAAAGAGTTGTTCTGGCAGCCATTTGGAAATAGAACACAGCCGTTTAAGAGAAGAAGTAAAGAGGCTTCTTGTCGGAGTCTAGTCAGGAATGGTGGTGCTCATGAGTTAGGCACAGAGTAGAAGAGCAGTTTGGTTTGTGTTACATTAGAAGAACAGGCAACAGGATTACATTTCTGCTAGCAGTTCCATCCATTAAGATCATTATGGTTTGTTTGTTTTAATTTAAGGTTTAATTTATGTATATGAGATTTGTGTGTGTGTGTGTGTGTGTGTGTGTGTGTGTACACATGCGCATGCGTGCCCATCATGTGCATGCTTGATGCCCATAAAGGGCAGAAGAGGGCTCCGTCTTTTGAAATTGGAATCACAGATGATTGTGAACTACCATATGGTGCTGGGAACTGAACTCAGGTCCTCTGCAAGAGCAACCCGTGCTCTTAACCTCTGATCCAACTCTCCATCCTGTTACTTGAACTTTTAATCAAGACACATTACATGAAATCATGACTAGTGGTTTATGCTATTTGATTAAGCACATCTGTACACCCCTACTTCCTTTGGTGGTCATTGCTACATTCGGAAAATACTTCAGTCATCCTGAGTGCCAAGCACTATGCCCAGTGCCAGAGCTATAAATAAAAGGTACAGTCTGTCAGCTTTTCTCTGGCTTGCTTCCTTTCTTAGGCCTCTGATTTGTTAAACATATCAGGCTAATTCCAGAATTCTCTGCCTCCTAGATTTTCCTAATTATGTTACTCAGCTTATTTTCCTTGGCATTTCTTGTAAACTGGAAATTGCACATTTTGGTAGGAAATATTTATAGATGTTCAACAGACTCTCCATGTCATTGTGGTGGCATGGTCCTTTAATCCCAACATTTGGGAAGCAGAGAGGCAGAGGCAGGTGGATCTCTGAGTTTGAGGCCAGTCTGGTCTATAGTGGTGAGTTCCAGGCCAAAAAAATTGAGACTCTTCCCTAATATTGAAGTTACATATTAAAATACCACCTGAAAAGATGTACAGAAAGTTTAATAGCAATTAAGCATACAAAATGGAGGGCCGTGAGCTTTTACTTTTCATTCCCCCTTATCCTCTGCTGTGAAACAAGAATTGAGGACTGAGCCAGAGAACGCAGCATGGTCAAGGGGTCACACCTAGCTTCTCTACTGCTTCATCATCCATGCTATTCCTTCCTCCCAGCATCCTACTGCACTTGAAATAAAATCTGTCCTCCCTGCTGGAACCTCCGATTGCCCCCTCTGGCCTCTGTAGTGTTACTTTGAACCACTCTCTTTGACGAGCCAAGCTCTAATTGAGCTGTGCTTTACAGTTGTAGTTTCTTCCTTCATAGAGCCTTCTGTAGCTGCTGCCCTGCTGCGGTCTGTGTGCAGTGATTGGTTCCTCTCCTCTCAGTATTACCCCTCACTCAGACAAGCTTTCCCTGTGAGCCATCAGCTTACTGTTGTTTAGCTTTCCTCTTGTGTAACTATGACATTAGCCCTGTGAACTCAAGGCTGTTGTCTAATCCTTATTTGCCAGTATATTCCCTGTTTCTAAAATTGTGCCTAGCAGATATTAGTCAACCTTTGTTGATAGATTAGTTTTTAAATTCCATTGTGTGATTATGTGAGTGATAAAATTATGGGCTATATTTTATTTCAGAACAAAGTCATTTTTAAACTTGGTTGCCTTTTGAAATTTTCTTATATGTAACATTTTAGTCTGCAGATACTCAAAAAAAAGTCCTTCCTCCCTGCTCAGATCCTAAATAGTGACTACTTGTGGGAGTTTTCAAGCTTATGTAGTTCTTAGGTGATGCATCTGTGTCTATACTTACCTCTTCTACAAATGAAGAAACTGGGGGCTCAAGAAGTTGTGGTTTTAGCAGATTAATTGTTTTTCTGTAATAAAATAATCTAACAAAAGCAACTGAAGGGAGAAAGGGCTTATTCTGTCTCGCAGTCAAGGGTCCAGTCCATCATGGCAGGGAGCTTGAGGAGACAGGAGCTCGAAGCAGCCAGTCACATCAGCCCAGAGCAGGAGCAGAGACTGATAAGTGTGTGTGGCTGTTCAGTTCCCTTTCATCATTTATAGACTTCAAAGCTCCAACCAGAGAATGGTGCCACCCTCAGTGGGCAGGTCTTCCCCAGGAAGTCTAGATTCTGTCAAGATTGACGCTTAATAATACTATCATCACAAATAGCACAACAGGGGTTTGACTCCTACTATCCTTTGGCAAGAATTTTTGTAGCTCAACCCCCCTCCTCTGCCTGCCTTTGCTGAGGACAGATGATTTTTTGTCATTTGCTGCCTATAGTTCTGATTTGGCTTTTGAGACCCTGGTAATACAGCACAGAGAAAAAGACTGAATTTTAAGAAAGATCCTGAGTCTGGCAAGATGGCTCATTAGGTAAAGGTACTTGCCATGCAAGCCTGGCAACCTGAGTTCAGTCCAGGAACCCATGCCAACGCCACAGAATTGTTCTCTGATCTCCACACTTGGGTCAGAGCACATTCATGCCCCCCCCCATGATATATATATATATATATATTAAAAAAGACTTGTGAATATCTTAGAGGTTTCTGAAAACATGAGAAGTTTTATCTCAGGGCAAACAAAGTTAGTTATATTTCAAAAAATAGCAAGGAGCTGGGGAGATGGCTCAGCAGTTAAGAAAACTTTCTTCGGGGGCTGGGGATTTAGCTTAGTGGTAGAGCACTTGCCTAGCAAGCGCAAGGCCCTGGGTTCGGTCCTCAGCTCTGAAAAAAACAAAAATAAAATAATAAAAAGAAAGAAAAAGAAAGCTTTCTTCTCTTGCAAGAGAACTCAAGTTTGGTTCCCAGCACTCAAAGGCGGGTGACTCACAGCCATCTCCAGGGCAGGCAAAAGCAGGCAGATCTCTGAGTTCGAGGCCAGCCTGATCTACAGAGTGAGTTCCAGGACAGCCAGGACTACACAGAGAAACCCTGTCTCAAAAAACAAACATAAAAATAATAAATGTTAAAATAATAAGAAGGAATTACAAAAAGATGTGAGCATGTGCCCCTCCAGTGGCACTCTCCCTGTGCCTGTCTTTGGGAGAGCCTTTCTATGCCTCCCAAATTAAGGAGATTGAAGTGTGAACTCTATGGTACTGGGTTTCAGAGCTGACTGCTGGCCAGAAGCATTTCTCTGGCAGTAAAATTTGAAAGAAATAGTGTCAGAGAGAGAGAGAGAGATATCAAGAAGACTGTCATTCTGTAGGGCTGGTACTAAGAAGAGGATTTAAAGTGAGTTAAGGTGTTAGCAGGAATTAGAAGGAAGAGTCCAGACTGAAGATTGAAAGTCAAGCAGTTGCAGGAGAGTAGTGGAGTAAGTAAATAATTCAGCAGCCATATGACTCTGCTTGGTAATAACTGATGATCAGACTAGTATTTAAAACTTTAAATGGAGGGCTGGAGAGATGAGATGACTCGGTGGTTAAGAATGTTTGCTGCTCTTTTGGAAGACTGGAATATAGTTTCCAGCATCCACATGGGGTGGCTCAAAACCACCTGTAACTCCAGCTCCAGGGGATCCAATGCTCTGGCGTCTATGGGCTCCTGCACTCATGTGCACAGATACATAATAACAAATAAATAAACCTTTTTTGTTGTTATTTTGTTTTTGAGACAGGATCTTCATTATGCAGTTCTGGCTGTCCTGGAACTTACTATGTAGACCGGACCAAACTTACTCTGCCTCTGATTGCTGAAATTAAAAACGTGCCACTACCGCCAGGCAATATTTTTTTTCTTCTTTCTTTTTTTTTTTTAACCTTCAATAATAAAAATTATTGAAGGAAAAAGATCTGGATTTTGTATTTTTCATGAATGGCATGTCTAGGCTCATCTCAGCTGCTGAATTAGAGTCTTACCTTAAGAATTAATCTGGGACTAGAGAGGTAGCTCAGGGAGTAAAGGCATTTGTGACCAAACTTGACAACCTTAGTTCAGTTCCCAGGACACCCATGGTGGAAGGAAAGAATCAATTCCTCTAAGTTGTCTTCTGATCTCTTAAGAATTCCCACTCGTCCCCAATAAATAAATAAATAAATTGTTAAAGTGTGTTTTTTTTTTTTTTTTTTTTAAAGAAAGACTGCCAGGCGGTGTTGGCACACATTTTTAATCTCAGCACTCAGGAGGCAGAGGCAGGCGGATCTCTGTGAGTTTGAGGCCAGCCTGGTCTACAGAGTGAGTTCTAAGACAGCCAGGGCTACACAGAGGAAACCCTGTCTCAAAAAACCAAAAAACTGAAAGAAAAAGAAAGGAAATACTTGAAGGACGCTTTCAGACTGGGGAGAAAAACAGATGTATCCATCAGTCTCCTGATGTGTTGGTAGATTCTTACACCAAAACATTGTATGGATTAGGGGTGGGTTGGTTTGTTTTCAGGGTTAGCTCCAAGTCCAACATTAATCTTCTTCATCTGGTAAGAAGAGTAGAAGGAAAACCCAGAATTAAATAACAATTTCCACAAAGTGATTTTAAACACTCTTATAGAAGCAATATAAACTGTTCTTATTAATATTTTTAATGGGACACTAGGAAATAATATCTATGTCTAAGTGATATCTCCTAAAAACATTAGTAATGTAAAATTACACTTAAAATCCATACTCACTTTGGCTTTGTTTGCTAGGATTCATGTTCTCACAAGCTATGAAGAAGTGGGTGCAAGGGAATACTGATGAGGTAAGTCTTGAGTGTGTTCTTACAGAAGAAGAAGGCCTGCCTTGGCTCAGGAAGACTCCACATTCTCTTCCTTCGCTTTCCTTGTTACACAGATGACATATCAGTGCCCTCTTATCCTGTCTGTAACAGGAGACGCTCCTCTTAGCATTTAATAATTGCCCAGTGTTGACAGTGAAAGTATCTTCAGACTGTGGCCACTGCAGCCACACCAGGTCATTAGTGTAGAGACACAAGTGGAGATGTTTTCTTCAGCAGTTTCAGTTGTGGTGTTAGCAGGGAAGCTTGTCTTTGGAATAGTTAAGGACATCGAGAGATGGGAGTAGGAGAAAAGTGTTCTGTCCTGACCAGCAAACAAAGTAGTCATGATGTTGGCTACTCAGTAGCTGACTCTGTCAGACAGTGAATTACATGTTAATGTATCAGAGCCACAGGTGCCCAGATTCTTTTATATATGGGAAGGTGCTTTTTAGCCAAACGATAGACATGTTTGGAAGACTGATTATATGTATCTTGAGCCTCCTAATGAATGGTCATTATCAACAGTTTGAATTACTTCTTTCAGGCCCAGGAGGAACTAGCTTGGAAGATTGCTAAGATGATAGTAAGTGACGTTATGCAGCAGGCACACTATGATCAACCATTAGAGAAATCTACAAAGGTAGGGTGACTTCTGCTCTGACAGCCTTTTGTTGTTGTTGTTGTTTGTTTGAGACAGGGTCTTAATGTAGCCCAGGCTAGGCTCAAAGTCTTGTGACTAATGTCCACCTAGAACTTCTGATCTTCTCACTTCCACCTCCCAGCTGCTAGAATTATAGGCTGTGCCATCACAACTGCTTTGTGTGGTGTGGGAGCCACCCTTGGGCTTTGTGAATATTACCAAAGCACTCTACCAACTGAAATGTATCTCTGCCCCGACCTGGCTTTTGTAAGGTAAATAAACAAACACACGCGCACACACGCACACATTTTGAGTGTTTAATAAAAAAAAAAAAAAAAAAAAAAGAAAAAGAAAAGAAAAAAGGCCGGGGAGGGGGGGCGGGCGGGCTGGAATTTGGACTCTGTGGTTAAGAGTGCATACTGCTCTTGCTCAGGACCTGAATTTGGTTCCCCGAATCCACAACCACCTGTAACACCAAGATCTGATGCCTCAGATACCTGCACTCATGTGTGTACACACACACAAACACAATATTAGAATACTTATACTTGCCTCTGAAGTATTAACTGCTATAGGAATTACCTTTCATCATAAAGAACTGCAAGACTGATGAACAAAACAAAGTATGTTTCCAGATAGTGGACACTGAGTGGGTAATCTTTGAAAGCAGTAGAATTGAAGTGATTCCCTAGCCCACTGTTGACAGTTGGCTCCTGAAGTAAAGAAGGCAAACTGAATAGAGCCCATGAGATTTGATGAAGTGAGGAATGAAAAGGAACATTTAAAGAGGAAAAAAAACAAAACACATGCCGGGTGGCTGTGGTGGCGCACACCTTTAATCCCAGCACTCGGGAAGCAGAGGCAGGCAGATCTCTGTGAGTTCGAGGCCAGCCTGGTCTACAAAGTGAGATCCAGGAAAGGCACAAAACTACACAGAGAAACCCTGTCTCAAAAAACCAAAAAAAGAAAAAAAACAAAACAAAACAAAACAAAAAAACATAATGATTAAATTTACTCTAAATAAAACAGGACAAACGACCCAACTGGGCTTGTTTTTAATTGAAAATTTTTTGACACTTGTTGGATGAATTTCTTTTCTAAAAATTTTTAAATTTGTGTGTGTATGTGTGTGAGTGTGTGTGTGTGTGTGTGTGTGTGTGTGTGTGTGTGTGTGTTCACATGTTCATGTGTGTGCATATAGAGGCCATAGTTTAACATCAGGTGTCTTCCTCAGTCTCTCTCACTGACCCTGGAGTTTGCAGATTCTTCTGGACTAGCTGTTCAGCAAGCCCCAGGGCTCCTCCTGCCTCTGCCTCCCCATCCCATGCCACTGTGCACGCTTACCTGGGTGCTAGGGTCTGAACTCGGGTCCTCATGCTTGTGTGAGCACTTTACCCCCCTGAGCCGTCTCCCAGCCCCACCTTACACAATTTTTATGTGTACAAGAATCATCTGCCAGGATATACTATATCTTCAGCCATAAAACAAATTTCATTAATTGTAAATGATTGAAACCTACAGTCTCTTTCCTGACCAAACAGGAATAAGCCACAAAAAAATATGGATGGATGGAAGAGCACTGCCCCCACCCCACGTACTTGAAGATGAAACAACACGTATCTTAATTAGGTTTCTATTGCTGTGATGAAAATGACATACATGTAGGCAAAACACCAATGTGCATAAAATAAATACATTTTTTTCCTTTTTTTTTTTTGTTTGTTTTTATAAGACAGTTTCTCTGTGTAACAGCCCTAGCTGAAATAAATAAATTTAAAAAAAATAAGGACATTGCCGGCGGTGGTAGCACACACCTTTAATCCCAGCACTCAAGAGGCAGAGGCAGGTGGATCTCTGTGAGTTCAAGGCCAGCCTGGTCTAAAGAGGGAGTTCCAGGACAGGCTCCAAAGCTACACAGAGAAACCCTGTCTTGGGGGGGGAGGGGGGCACGACACACATTGACAGACTGTAGAGATTGCTCAATTGATGAAGTACTTTGGACTTGAGTTTGGTCCCTAGAACCCACATTAAAAAGCCAGGTACAGCATCGTTTGTTTATAATTCTGGTGCTTACAGATGGATTCCTAGGGTTCACTGCCTAGCCTGGATTCCTAGGGTTCACTGCCTAGCCTGCATAGCCCAATTTCTGAGCTTCAGGCCAGTTGGAGTCCCTGCCTCAAAAACAAAGTGATCAGTCCCTGAAGAATGGCACCCAGAGTTCACCTCTGGCTTCCACACAATGTGCACACAAGTGCACATACATACATACATACACACACACATACACACATACACACATACATACACACACACATACGTACATACATACACACATACACACACACACACACATACACACACACATACACACACACACACACACATGAACTCACACAGAGAGAAAAGTGAATGGTTTCATTCTAATAACCATTGACCAAACACAAAAATAAAAGCAAGTTCTTAGCTTCTTTAAGCTCCTGTTGACTTGGGATATCTGAGCATGGTTAATACTTTGCCTCACAAGAAAGTACTCAGCTGTCCCCTAAGCTCTGGCACATAGGAAGCACTGTGTACATGCTGGGCACTTCTTTTATCTGTGCTAATAATGTATCACTTACTACAGGAATGTACCTTACCTTTTTCTTTTTGTTTTTTTTTCTCTCAGCTGTGACTCAAAACGAGAGATAAGAAAATGTGATTTTGAAAAATAAGAACTTTTCCCTTTGGTTGGATTCTTCAACACAGCCGATGAAAATGGAGCACTGCATTTCTTTCCACTGCTAGATCACTGTTGTTTCCAAGAAGGAATGCAAGACAGTCCAAGATCTGTTGTTAAATGTAGACATAGATGCACATGATGGTAACACAGTGAGTCACAAGATACAAAGTGGTATTGGTGACATTACTAGACAATTCGTTTTCCAGTAGCTGTAACCCGCTATGAGAGAGTTACCCACTGGAATAGACAGGGACTACATCCTGTGAGGCAGAGAAGCGTGAGTTGGTGTGTGGTCCACATGCTTGCAGCCGACTCCATCCTTAGCAGTATCAGAAAGCACGAGACAGAGGTGCTTGTTTTTGTCCTAAAATTCACAGGTGAGTCAGTCCTACCTGGAGCGTGCAGCTCCAAGTGGCGATGTGGGCCAGCAGCTTGTGAAGCAGGTGACGATCCCTTGTGTAGTCTTCCTTCACAGAGGCATTCATTTAGAGAGAAGCTGACAAGTCGTGGGTCAAGCCTCAGTGATGTCATCCTTCTCTTTGGTGACAGAACACAATTTTCACATTTCATTCACTCCTGTGATGTTGTTATATCCTTAAAGCTAGTTTCTCCTCTGCTAGCAAAAGGGCACATTTAGCTTACTTTGAGCATCAAGACCCATTCCTCCATAGGAATGCCATGCTCCAGATACTTTATTCCCTCTTCGGAATACACATGGGAAAAAATTAAGTATCACTCCAGTTTTTGCCATGTGGTACTTGGAACACATTCTCAGATTTTATTTTTCTAGTAAGGTGGGGGAAAGAAGTACTCACTTTGTAGTGTCTCCCCAGTTCTTCACTGTGAGTGGGAAATGTGCAGTCGCCTTTTCTCTTTCTGTCTTCAGACAGTAGGAAACTCACTCACTGCCCTGCCGCTTAGTTGGCTCTGCACCTGTGGCTCTGCCGTTGGCTGGGCCACCCACTGGCAAGCACACTCCCCTGACCACATGATGCCGCCAGTGCTTCCTGTGTGTGAGTTTAGAGAGAACGGAAGTTTTCTTAGGTGTCGTTGCTTTTGCTCAGAGTGTGCAAAAGAAAAAATATATATATATATATATATATATGTGTGTGTGTGTGTGTATATATATATATATTATTAATCACCTCTGTCCTTGGGAAAGTCTTGAATGAATAGAGAATTTATTTCATTGCAATATTGATTGTATAGAGGCACACTGTTTATCAACAGAAGAAGCAAAAAGGCTGTGTATAAGTTTTTGGTACTATGTACCAACTCTGTTATTCTGAAGTATTCATGTACTTAAACCATATTCTATTTAATTGTGTTTGATTTTAAATATATATATATGAATTATATTTAAAATGGTGTCAACTTCCTGCTTTCAGGGCATTTATGGCTCTTCTATTGACCCTTCCTAATATTTCCATTTGCTTTACAAAACCTCAGAATATGATCCACTACTGGACATAGTCTTATATTTGGATGTAGGCATAAGTGAAAGGTTTTTATCAATATATGTGCTGTGGTGGTTTATTTTGTTCTTTTAGCAAAGTATTTCTATCCATTTCACATTGCTTCAAACTTTCAAGTGAAAAGCAATATAAAGGTCATAGAGTAAAATGTGATTCTGGGTGACTCCTCCTGCCTCTGCATGTTTTAGAGTAGAAATTTCTGTGCTACTCTAAGCTATTTAAACTAGCGGTTTTTGTTAAAATACTTTCTAGTGGTTTCTTTGTATGTATTGTGTGCTTCTGAGCTAGAGATGTCAGTATTTATAAGCTATGTCTAAGGGGAAATGAGCAAAATTGAGATTGGCTTTATTTTCTGCTCTGTCTGTTGTGAGGTATAGAAGCAGAGTGACCCAATATATTGGACCAACTATATGTTAGATCCTTATTCTCATTTTAAAATTGGCATAAGATTGACCTAACATTGAACACTCACCGGGTCCCAGGCTCTCTGCAATGTATCCACAAAATGATTCCCTGGCAGGGTTTTTAAGTCTAAAGAAGCAGGTGAATGTCAGCAGGTTGTTAAAAGTCAGCTTAGCAGTGCGAGTGTGACAGCATTATAATTGGGCTTTTCTTCATCATTCCTGTAGGATATGATGAACGTGAAAAGCAGGCATCAGCCAAGTCCAGTGAAGCAGTGAAACAGGAAACAGCCTTTTCTGCTTGGGTTCCAGTATGCATTAAGGCTTTCTGAGATGTAAACTGTTTACACTACTAGAGCTTTTGACTTGTTCCGTAGATACTTTATGAGGAAATCACTCTGAACTGTAGAAAAATTACACACTTCATTGCTGTTGTTTTCAGTTTTTTGAGACAAGGTTTCACTATGTAGTCCAGGCTTCGGCCTCCCAAAATTTGGAGATTACAGGCCCAGCCTCCACACCAGACTTCTTTGCTGGTTGGTTTTAGTATCAACAGCTAAGCAGCTGGTGTAGCAACTGTGTCTCTAAAGGCATTGTGGAGACTGCCTGACTCAGCACCCCCAGTGGCTTTCTTGTCTCCTCCTCTTCACTCTTCTCCAGCATGCTAGCTGGTCAAGCCGAGGTGAACTCATTGAAATGCCCCAAGATGATTCTGTGTCTTAAGGCTTTTGCATGAAGGAGATGTTGGTCACCACGAGGAAAGATGACCTGGAGGCTGACTTAGATGGGTACTTCACACGGCAGGAGTTGGCACTGGTGAACAAGCAGGAGGCTTTGCTAAACCTGGAGATTCCCTGGTCTCTTCCTCCAGCCCTGTGTCCTTGCCTTGGTCTTCATTCATCCTTGGGGATGCTTAGAGTGCATCTGGATTTTTCTTTAGCATGATGTGAAGTGACGTGTTACTACATGCAACAGAAAGGCTCTTGATTAAAGTACTACCACGGCTCTCTAAATCATAATGACCATGTGTTCAGCACGTTGCTAATTACTGTGACATTTTGGAGCAAAATTTTTCTGTAGTAAGCCTTCCTTAGTCATCTCGTGTATACTGTCAAAATGGAATCCTAACCTCCTGGAACTAAGACACTCGATCCTTTTAGTGAGAAGGTACTTGGGCCTTAGAAAGGCCCCTGGCTTGTTGCAGGATGGTCCCCATCAGAAGCCATGCTTCCTTGGCCAGGGCCTCTTCATGTGTCCCCATACTCTGCCTGAGAATAAGCTTGACTCACCACTCTTAGCTGTATGCTAAGACCAGAATTGGGAGGCGTTTCAACTAATATGTGCCCAGTACACACTTGAAGTAGAGTAGTGGCAACTCAAGAGAGCTGTAGGTGTTGGCCACACCTTTGACCTCCGGCTGGAGCCATGAAGTAGTAAGTAAACTGCTTGCTAAAACCCTTCAAGGCTAAATCTTGCGGGGAGGGGCGGGGGTCATATCACTAGGTATCCTACCCTCTGAGTCCTTTCCAGGTGGGCACTAAGGAACTGCCCCTTTGCTTGGGCAGGGGTTGGAGTGGCTTAGAGTAGGAAGAATGGTACTGTGCTCTGGACAGGGGGAAAGGCCATAGAGGGCATTTAAGGTACCTGTGTGAGCAAAGGTTCCAAGGGTGTCTGGTTAGGGAGGGCCTGCCTGGGTACACAGGAAGATCAGTGTTCTTGCCTTGGCACTTTGTGCGTGTATCCTTGGTTCATTGTAAAGTGGCCTACTCTGATACACTATAAGGATGCTGTAGAACTTGAACAGGATGCATTAAGCCCCTTGCCTAAAGGTGGTACATTGACACCCAAGGAACCTGAGACTTGGGTAGGAGGGTGCAGAGAAACCTTGGAGTTGGTTAAAGAGCTGTTTCCCAAGGATGAATGAGAGGTGAGGATTCCAACAACTGGCTTTTCTTCTGGTCTCAGGTTTCCAAGACCACTTTTTGAATGTGCCTTCAGGCTGGTCCCTAATAATGATCCCAAATCGACCTCTGCCCGAATCCTAGTGAGACAAGAGGCACCAGCCACCATGTGTGCTGGCACCTGAATCCCAGAACACAGGAGGCTCAGGCGCAAGGATCACAAGTTTGAGGCCGGCTTTGATAAGACTCAGTCACAAAACTGCAAACAGGTGCTGGAGAGAGTGCTCAGCAGTATGCTGCTCTTGTCAAGTGACTCACAGCCACCAGCTCCAGGGGGATCCCTCACATCTAGCCCTCATGTGCACCTACATTCGCATGCACATATCCACATACAGATAGACCTATGTACACATAATGTAAAATGAGAATAGTTTATAGATGAAAGAAATGCCTGCCTGAGACCCTTCAGACTGGAGTAGCTCTAAGTGGTAGTCACCGAAGCTCAGCAAAGATACCCGGATTTGAGCAGCTTTTGTTCCTCCTAATGAACTACGAGTTTGGTGAGTGCTTACTCGGTAGATACTATTTATAGTTCAGTGAGAGAGGAGAAAATAAGATTAACTTCCCTCGAGCTCAGATTCTACTAAGAAGGAACCAGAAGTGGAAAGTTGCATCAAAAACATGCTGGCCTAGGGTGTTTCTCCCCACCCCACCCCACCCAGTGGTAGTAACCCGTACTTAGCATATATGGGACTCTAGGTTTCATCCCTAGCACCAATAAATAAAATACATACTAGTATTTTTGACTTGGGTGGCTTTTTTGGATCAAGATTTAATTCCTTTACCACCTAGAACCCTATTGGGAGTCAACACTCTTCCATACCTTCCCAATTTCACCATTACATGAGGACCAGTCACTACACCACTCCATTTACTTGCCAAAGGGATATACGTGTGGGCGCTTGATCACATGTTGAACAGGTTATAAACAGCCTTATGAACAGGACAATGAACAGAGAGTGTAGGATTGGCCTTGACCTCAAGGCTCTTTGCAGAACTTCGGGATACATTAATTCTTAGAATCTAGAAACGTGAAGACTAATGTAAGTGTATCACATACACATGATGCAAAATTATGGACTTGGAGAAACCTAGCTGGGAATCGAACTACTCCATGAAGTGGTGGGCTTGGTGAAGCTTCTTTATTGATGGTAATAATAACTAGCATAATTGACCACTTAGATGTGCTAAGCACTCTCTGATCCTTATCACAGTCTTACAAGGTAAGTACTTTTTTCTCTCTTACATTAATAAATGAAACTAAAGCTGGAAGGATAAAGGAGTCTCCAGGATCACACAGCTAGAGACAAACCAGGTAGCCCTCTTCCCCACTGCTCTGACGGATGCCAGCACTCATCACTGACTAGTATAGCAGATGTCAAAGGTTAAAGAAGAACTGAAGCTGGGTGTGGTAGTACACATATGTAACCCCAGCTCTTAGGAGCTAGAAACAGGAAGATCTAGAGTTAAAGGTCATCCTCAGCTGTATAGCAAGGGCAGTCTGGGCTGTGGAGCCCTTGTCTTAAGAAAAGGAAGGGAGGGACGGAAGGAAAAGGATTCCATCCACACCTTAAAGCACTGGGTTGTTTTGTTTTGTTTTTATTGTCTTGAGGCAGTCTTAAACACATCAGGCTGGCTTCCAGCTTCCTGTGTGGAAGAGGATGACTTGGAACTCCTTAATATCCTCTTACCTCCCAAGACAGCACTACAGGCATGTAAAAACACACATTTATGGAGTGCTAATAATCGAACTCAGGACTTTGGACATGTTAGGCAAGGCTATCCCGAGCCGAGCTGCATGCCCAGCCTGAAAAGCACTATTCTTAAGCTTTAGTGTGCACCTGAATCCCCAGGAAGACTTGTTAGCACATTGGCTGCCTTTTCTGACTAAACTTTCAGGTTTCTGATTTAGTAGGTCTAGGTGGGACCTGAGAGTTTTCATTCTCAGCAGATTTTCATTCCAGCTGCTGCTGCTAAGACTACAGTTTTGAGAATCTCTGCCTTAAAATCATCACCACAGCTAGGGAAATGATTATTTTCATTCTGGTTTTTTGAAAGTAACATGCTACCCAGAAATGTAATATAATTCCTACTCTTGACTCCCTGAGGAAGGCACCTATCATCTTTCGTTAGTGTCCAGATGTTTATCAAAGCCAAGAACATCCAAACATCATTCCTCAGTCTTTCTTTCCTGTTTGTCTCTCAGCTCCTTGATTCTGTCTGCCCTCTGAGATCCTGCCATGCTTCCTGGCCTGTTCTCCTGTGCTGACTGTCATTCCATAGACAGCTGGTGTCTCATTTTCCCTTTCCTCCTGCTCTTCACCTCTTCTCCAGTTGTTTACCCTTGGGGCTATTCTGGTTCCCAGCTGTTCAGCAGTTCCCTGGGCAGACTTCCTACAGTCTAGAAAACAAATATTGACAATTCAGTATATGTTTTGAAAAAGGGAGGAGCCTGTTGGGGATTTCTCTATCTTTTCACTCATAAACTTCTAACCAGCTCAGTCATTCTCTAGAATCTGCCCATTCTGCACATCGCTCTTTTATTTGATTCCATTTTTCTCACAGTCCTGATGTGCTTAGACAATTCCCAACCCCCCTTACTGAACCAGGACTCAGCATCAGCATGCTGAACATCCATGAACACCTTTTCCTGATTGGTGAGACATCCACATTGAGGCCCTTGCTGCTTGGGAGGCTGCCCTCTCTGCGATCTGGCCAGCTCCAAGCTATTGCAGAATAGAGGGAATGTCTCTCTCCCCTTCCCCAAAAAAGTTTTTGGTACACCATTCCAAGCTTTCTTCACAACTTCATTTACATCTCAAGAAACATCACAATCTATGACAGCCCAACAGTTTGGTCTCCACCTCTACCATGCTCCTGTAACTAAGCCTGCCATTTCCTGAAACTGTTCCACCTCTGGTGACTGCGTATTTTTAGCCCACACTGGCCTCTGCAAGGCAAGTTCTAGGTTTTTCCTACAGGAATGAATTGGGAGGGGTGTTGTGTTTTTGTTTTTGTTTTGTTATTTGTAAAGGCAGGGTAGAGAGACTTATTCCAGAGAAACATCCCTTCGCTACTCCAGGAGTACATTTTCAAACCAACCTTTCAAAGAGCTATTTCAAAAGCAATAAGCAAGTGGTTTTGTGATGAGGATTACAAAGACCCTCAGGATAAGTCCAGGGTGAAGAGGAGAGTTCTGATGTGACAGCTTGGTCCAGACTTCATGGAAGAGTGTCAGGCATGTATCTTTAAAGTGTTCTATCTCCGAATGACTTAGATGCAAGCCACGGAGATCTGCTTCAAGAAACTAGCTGCAACTAGGAAGACACTGGTGCATAAGATGCTTATGGAGATTTGAAGAGAAATGTTATTTAATGTGAGAATGGGGGGAAAGCAATATTTTGTATTATTGTATTATACATATTGTTATTTTAAAATAAGCATGTATAATTAAATAAATTAGATATTATAAATAGACATCTGGCTGATTGCTATTCCTAAAAGTTTAAGTACTCAAATTAATACATTTAATTTTTTAAAAAGTTGCCAAATTGACCAAAGATCTTTATTTTAAGTTGTAACATTCATTTTCATTATAATACTGGATAAGTAGGCCGGGTGTAGTGGTGCACACCTTTAATCCCAGCACTTGGGAGGCAGAGGCAGGCTGGTCTACACAGTGAGTTCCAGGACACCTGGGACTGCATAGTGAGACTCTGTCTGGAAACACAACAACAAAATACTGGGTAAGTTAATAAAGTAATAGCTACTAACCTGAGGAAGGATGTTTGAAACTATGTTACTATTTTAGCATTCAGATTTCAGAGGTAGAGATAATTCTGGATTGTGTTTTCTTCCTTTTTAAAAAAAAAAAAAAACAAGTTCTAGTAGAAGCTAAATAATTCATTTTCAAAGTGTGATGTTATAGTTACAATGTATGACCTAGCTTATTATTAATGTATATCTTGTATGTATTCTGTTACTGTGATAGTATATTTTGCTGGGCTAGTTGTGGTTTGTGGTGGAACCACTCGTGTAAACAAGGAGCAGTGGGGAAACAGGTTCTTTTCTCAAAGCATTTGTCCACGAGGGTATGCTTAGTTAACTTGTTTCTCTCTGACCCTGATGACCACTTGCTCTTTGCTAAGGCTTTATTCTCTCTGTTTTGGGGCAGGGCTTCTCTGTGTAACCCTGGCTGTCCTGGAGTTTACTCTGTAGACCATGCTGGCCCTGAACTCAGAGATGCCCCTGCCTCCACCTGCCTCTACCTCCCGAATGCTGGGATTAAAGGCATGCTCTGTCTCACACACACTCACACACACACACACACACACACACACACACACACACACACACACAAAATCAGTTACAAGCTCTATTATTTTTAGAAAACATAAAAACATAAAGACTGGGTTTAATTTTCTTTTTATATATATTTTGATTTAAAAATTTAATTAGCATACACAGCATTAGGTTTGATTACAGGTTTTTTAAACAAAATTTTTGTTGATTCTCCTCTTTTCCCCCATTACTTCTCTCTTCTCCTCTCCCCCCAATCTCTCTCCCTCCCTCTCTCTCTCTCTCTCTCTCTCTCTCTCTCTCTCTCTCTCTCACACACACACACACACACACACACACACACACACACACACTTTTTTATTTCCTTTTTTAGCATTTTAAGGCAAGATCTCATTTAGACTCCTGGGCTGGCCCTGAACTCGATAGACTTAAGCAATCCTCTTGCCTCAATCTCTACCACTTTGTGGCTCAAAAAATATTTTTTGAATGGAAAAAGTCCAAATTCCTTGAAGATAGACACCATCTCTAAACCTTAAACTAGATATCTTCTCTTTTTGTATTTTTTATTAAAATTTTTCATTAATTTTGCATACCAACCACAATTTCCCCTCCCTCCTCTCTTCCTTTTCCCTCCCCCACTTCCAGTCTATGCTCCCTCTCCTGCCCCCATCCACTCCTCCATTCAGAAAGAAGCAGGCCTCCTATGGGAGTCAACAAAGCATGTTATAACACATTGAGGCAAGACCAAGCTCCTCCCCCTGCATCAAGGCTGGGCTGGGCATCCTTCATGGGGAATATGTTCAAAAAAGCCAGCTCATGCACCAGGGACTGGTCATGATCCCACTGCTGGGGGCCCCACAAACAGACTAAGCTACACAACTGTCATCCACATGCAGAGGGCCTAGGTCAGTCCCATGCAGGCTCCCTAGCTATCATACAGAGTCCATGAGCTCCTATTAGCTCAGGTCAGCTGTCTCTATGGGTTTCCCCTTCATGATCTTGACCCCACTTGCTTGTACAATCCCTCCTCCCTCTTGTCAACTGGACTCCGGGAGCTCAGCCCAGTGCTTGGCTGTGGCTCTCTGCATCTGCCTCCATCAGTTAGTGGATGAAGGCTTTCTGTTGACAATTAGGGTAGTCACCAATCTTATACAGGAGAAGGCCAGTTCAGGCACCCTTTCCACTATTGCTAGGAATCTTAGCTGAGGTCATCCTTGTGATTTCCTGGGAATTTCTCCCTAACCCCTAAATGACCCCCTCTATCAAGGTATCTCTTTCATTGCTCTACCTCCCCGTCCCTCCCCCAACTGGGCCAAACTGATCCCTCATGTTCCCGTCTGCCCATCCCTTCCTCCCCCCAGTTTACTTAGGAGATCTTCTCTTCCCTTCCCAGGGAAATCTATGAGTCACTCTTAGGGTCCTCCTTGTTACCTAGCTTCTCTGTGGCTGTCTTTTTTTAATTATCATAGCTACTGCCTTTGCAAAGTAATGTATACAATTGAAAATGTTTTCCCATTGCCATGTGTGGTGTTACTCACCTATAATCCCGACACTCAGGAGGCACAGATGATTAAAGATTTAAGACCAACCTGGGCTACCTAGAGAGAGGTCTTTGTCCAAAAAAAAAAAAAAAAGGAAATGCTGATGTTGAGGTATTCTCTTACTCTAGCCTAGCATTAATAGCACATCCTTTGTGGATTTTTAGCATCCCTCAGACCCTCCCTGGAGATCTGTGAGGTTATGGCTTTTCATAGTACGATATCATGGATTGTTCGGTCTCAGCCCTCAAATGCATATTTTTCGACATTTTGACAAATGGCAAGACCACATACACCACACCACTTCTGCATGCTGCAGCACTGCCCTGTGTCCAGGGAGAGGTGGTTTTGTTTTTTGTGTGTGTGTGTTTGGTTTTGGTTTTGGTTTTTCAAGACAAGTTTCTCTTAAAACAGCCCTGGCTATCCTGGAACTCATTCTGTAAACCAGGCTGGCCTCAAACTCACAGAGACCCTCTTGCCTCTGCCTCTCAAGTGCTGGGATTAAAGGCATGAGCCACCACTGGCCAGCCAGGGAGAGCTCTTGGTGATGACTTGGCCACTGTTTTCATAGAATCTCCTTACACGGACAAGCCAGCTATTCAAACTTGGTATTTAAAAGACATGTTCTGGAAAACCTGCCACATCAGGAGAAAACTACAGCGACATTGTTTATTACCAAGGTGAAATTTTGAGTTTTCAAGTAAAAATAATCACTTTGGAAAACTAGTGTTCACCATAGTGAATTTGTTTTTCATAACTTGAGAGATTTTTTGGTAAGGTCTGGTTTACAAATGTGATTTTTAAATGTTGTGTAATAAAATTTGGAAGGTCTGAATAACCAGTGTACCAGAATCTTCAAAGTGCAAAGTAGATTTGGGTAGAGTGTGGAAAATATATTGGTTTGGCTCAAAGTCCCCCAGTAGATTTGGGTAGAGTGTGATAGGAGCATTGGTTTGGTTCAGGGTTCCCCAGTAGATCTGGGTAGACTGAAAATTGTGTTAGTTAAGTTCAGGGCTCCCCAGTAGATTAGGGTAGTGCATAGAAAGTTATGAATTATTGCTTGGGGGTACCCCCGAGGGTATCCCACGAATGCAGAGAAACAGGCTGGGCAGATGCAGTGGCGGGCTAGGCAGATACATGCCATGGAGGCATGGCGGGCTAGGCAGATACATGCCATGGAGGCATGGCAGCTGCGGCGGCCAGTAATTCACAACCCAGATGCTGCATCCACATGGAGAGTTTATTATAATAGAGAGATGAAGAGAAAGATAGGAAAGAAAGAGACAGAGAGTTCGAGAGTGTGCACCTCATGGGAGGAAAAAGCAGAAGTGAGAGAGAGGAAGGGGAGGAGATTTTCCTTAGAATGAGGCTTCTACGTCAGGACACAGGGCAGCCCCAAGGGGTGGGATTTCAAGGGGCGGATCAGAATATTAACATTCCTCCATTTTGATTATTATAAAAAGAAGTGAGTTATAGGAGCAAGTTGGGGAACAAGGGCGCTGAATTCTCAAGGCTACTTCAAGCTGACAAGGGGTGAAGGGGGGGGTGACCGGGAGTCACGCACAGTGGAAGATCTCAGAAACATTCCTTGAGGGAGCCAAGGAGACAGGTTGCAGTAGCGGTATTCCAGGAGCTTGGGGGGAAATGGCATGCCAAATCAGGAGTATAGAAGCCATGGCATCTGCTATTTCTCTGGAGGTCAGGTGGGAACAATGAATTTGCAAAATATGCTCGGAAAAATAGGTGGAGTCAGAAATGGGCTCTGGAGATTGTTAGTTTTCATCAAAACAGGTTTCTTGATGCAGTAGCAAAACTTTTCCCAGGAGCCTGTAGGTATCTGTAAGACAGCTGGAATGGATTTACATCGTGGCAAAAGGGTTAAAAATCCATTTAAGGACTCTTAAGAACTGTCTGTCAGTTTATCAAAGCTGCATTTATCAGTATTAAAACTTTGAACATCTGGAGTTATATCTGAAACCGGTCTATCTTGTACTATGAAGTCTGTGAATGAGGCATTGTGAATGAGGCATACCTGTCTGTAATTAGAGAGCATATATATATGTATATACATATATATATGTGTGTGTGTGTGTGTGTGTGTGTGTGTGTATGTATATATATAATCTTGGGATTGGGGCTGTTAAACTGATACCGTAGTTATCAAACATCGTCAGATCTGAGAATGATAAATTTAAGAAGTGAGACAGCTTTCCAGCTACCTAGACAGCAATCCCAAGTCTCTCGGGGGGGGGGGGGGGGGGGCCATGGGGCAGAAGCCCCAAAGGCAACACTTGTTCAGCTGATAGGCCCAGAAGATCTGACAGATTTTTTTCTGTGGAGTAGAGATTTGGGGAGACTGACCCACCTTGACTTTGCAGTATGGGGCAATCGGTCCTCCTTTGTTCTACTTATTCACAGTCTGGACGGGATCTCAGCTTCTCACTGCATGGCCAGCCTTACCATAAGCTTCTGGGTGGAAGTTGTTCTGTGGCCATCCATCTTCTTGAAGGAAATAAAGGATGCTGTCAGGAGCTGACATGTCTCTTTATCACAAAAAGGCTTTTATATTAAATGCCATATTCTCAGATCTCTACAGGTGTTTTAGGACTGGGGGAACAAAATCTGTTAGACGTATTTATA